TGAGTGTTTTTGGACAACAACTGCTGTTTCTCGGTATCTGCATGAGTTTAATTACAGGCTGATGTTGCTCGTTTAGAGCTGTGTGTTATATTTAGAGAAAATCCAGCTTTAGACAGTGAGTGCCTGTAATAACCAGCTGGTCTGTTTGCATCAGGCTCCCTGACTGACAGCTCCGGTGGCTTAAGACTTTAACATTCCCTCGGTTTTCAAAGGATCAGGCTCTTGAAGTTATAGTTTAGTCTGCAGTACTTTTGTGTCCTTCAGAAAGCTGTAGTCGCTCCAGGGCGTCCGCCTCGTGGATTTAGTGTACTTTTAAAATAGCCTGTCAGCACATTTTGTCAGAGAAATCAAAGTAATTGATTTGAGTCCGACTCGGGCTGTTTATTAAAAAGGCTACTGCGTCATAAATGTCAGCTCAAGGGGCCGAACAGGCCTCCAGTTAGAGAGGCAATTATTTTCACAGTTGCTTTTTAAAGAATCCAGTGGTGGTCAGTAACTTGCTTTGTATGTTATTCTATACTTTTTGAGAGTATTTTTATTTTAGGAAAGCTTTTACTTTTACTTCACTTCAATCTAAATCAAAATATTGAACGTTATACTCAATTACACTTCCTCAACGAGACAGAGTAAAAGAGTTATTTTCAAGGGGAGAAGTCATGACATGCTCAGAGACAAGATGTTAGTGTAGGAATTTTGTTGGTTAACCTGGTGAATTGGGGTGACGTGGTGGCGCAGTAGGTAATGTTGTTACCTCACAGCAAAAAGGTCGCTGGTTCGAGCCTAGGTTGGGTTAGTTGTCGTTTCTGTGTGGAGTTTGCACGTTCTCACCGATGGCGGTTCATACCGATGTGATGACCCCAGATTAAAAAAGGGACTAAGCCGAAAATAAAAGAAATTAATGAATGAAGCTTGTGAATCTGCTCATAAATTGCATTGAACAATTTATTTATTAACTGGACTGATCTGACCACATTTGTTCTCAAATAATTCAAATATTCAACATTGATTCAAATAATCCATTTAGAGTGAGTCTCCAGTGAATAACTCACTGATTCCAATTATCTGTTCAGATTGAATATGGAGTCAATAACACTGATTCAAATGATCTGTTCAGAGTAAGTATTCTGTAAACAACTCACTGATTTATATGATTTGTTCAGAGTATCCAGTGAATAACTTACTGATTCAAATGATCTGTTTAGAGTTAGTATTCGGTAAACAATTCACTGATTCAAACGATCTGTTCAGAGTGAGTATTTAGTAAACAATTCACTGATTCAAATGATCTGTTAAGAGTGAGTATTTAGTTAACAACTCACTGATTCAAATGATCTGTTCAGAGTATTCAGTAAGCAACTCACTGATTCAAATAATATGCTCAGAGTGAATATCGAGTGAATACCTCACTGATTCAAATGATCCGTTCAGAGTGAGTCTCTAGTAAATAATTTATTTACTGTGAAAATCCAATAAACAAGTCACTGGTTCAAACAATCTGTTCAGAGTATCTGGTAAACAACTCACTGCTTCAACCGATCTGTTCATAGTATCCAAAAAACAACTCACTGATTCAAATAATCTGTTCAGAGTATCAAATAAACAATTCACTGATTCAAATTATCTGTTCAGAGGTAATATCCAGTGAATTACTCACTGATTCAAAAGATCTGTTCAGAGTATTCAGTAAGCAACTCACTGATTCAAATTATATGTACAGAGTGAATATCGAGTAAATAACTCACTGATTCAAATGATCTGTCCAGAGGGAGTATCCAGTTAACAACTAATATATATTATTAGCAGGCCTACTAGTAGTTGTAGTAGCAGTAAAAGATATAGTATTATCAATTAAAATGACTGCTGCTACTCATAATAATACTACTAATTTATAAAAATCAGTTTGAATATGGCAATAGTGTAAGGATGAAAAATGTAATTTAATAAAATGTATTAGGCAAATGCAAAAACCAAAAGCATCTGAATATGCGCTGAGTTAAAGGAATATTTGCTTATAATTAATCTTGATCAAAAGCCAAATTCCTCTCCCATAGAATAAATCTAATTTAGTAAATGGCATTTCAGTATTCAAATACAACATAAAAATGATGCTTTGCTACAAGTGTTTGTTTTTTACTAACTATGCAGGAAAACACAGAGAAGCCTGTCCAAGTGTATGTGGATCTGCATCCAGAAAAGCGTGACTGGAAGACTCACCTACTGAGCATGCTGGAGCAGGGGGGAGAGTACGACATGGGCCCTCACAAGAGGATCATCATGGACTGGACCAGAGCACAGAGAAACACGCACCCGGTGAGGGCCACTATTTTAGATCTGATTTTGTGTTCAACAGAAAAAAATGAAAAAAGAAAGAAAGGGGCCAGTAAATAATTTGTGCTTTTTTTGTCCTCTATAACTTATATACACTAATCCATTAATGGTCACAAAATTGACTTAATGAGGAGTAATTTGTTTGTGTTTGCAATTTAATAATAATCTATGCTGTAAATGAAGCGTCTCTCTCTCTCTCTCTCTCTCTCTCTCTCTCTCTCTCTCTCTCTCTCTCTCTCTCTCTCTCTCTCTCTCTCTCTCTCTCTCTCTCTCTCTCTCTCTCAAATTCAAATGCAAATTCAAAGAGCTTTATTGGCATGACTGTAAAACAAATCACAATGTTGCCAAAGCAATAACAAAATACAGAATATTCATATAGATAAAAGAAATATAAGTAATAATAAACAAACATATACATATCGTTATATTATACATATATGTTGTCACAATAAACAAGTTAATAAAAAAAGATTAACAAAAGTATATAATAATAAATGGTAAGGACAGAGAGCTTTAATAAGGGATGAGGGGGTTCAGCCTTTTTCTCTCATATGGTGGCATGAGGACACGTACTGTGCTGCTAGGTGGAGACACTTTTCATTTTCTCCCAAAATATAATGGAGTTTCTCCGTATTTGTGGCTTGCTGGAATTGTGGTAGAATCAGAGACATTTGTGTGAAGTAAGCTTCTCTGATGCTCTGATATTTGCTGCATTGAGTGAGGAAATGCAGCTCATCCTCCACAACTCCAGCAGAGCAGTGTGGACACAGTCTGAGCTCTGGGCTCCTCCAGCTGCGCTTGTGTCGGCCCGTCTCCACACTCAGACTGTGTCCACTCAGACGGTACCGGCTCATCAGCTTTCTCTGACCGGGGCTCTTAATGTTGGTCAGATACGGGGCCAGTTCATAACCAGGTTTAATCTGGTTGAAGCACGCTAACTTTTTTATTTGTCGTACTTTATTTTGCCAATTGAGTTTATAATCCTCCTGGGTAATCTTTTCTATTTCTTTAGTCTTTATATGTTGGGACACGGTTTGTGAATTTAGTTGGTGTTTTCCCACCAGATAGTGCATGGGGTCTCTCTCTCTCTCTCTCTCTCTCTCTCTCTCTCTCTCTCTCTGTCTCTCTCTCTCTCTGTGTGTGTGTCTGCTCTCTGATTAAGAATTAAGATATTAACCTTGCTATGATCCTCTCGTCTGACTGTGTTGATTACAAATGACCTCACTGACTGACCTGGCAGAGACACGCTCAACCCACTAATCTGTAGAAATGACAACTTAACATTGACTTCTATTATTTTCCAATTTAAGTAAAGACTAGCTTGTCAAACACGTTCAAAATGCTAGCTTACTTCATAGTATGCACTGTTTATTACCCGTAGTTCATAAAAACTATGTATACATTGTGCAGCAATAGATATAAACACTCACCAGCCACTTTTTAAGGTACTCCTGTCCAGCTGCTTGTTAACGCCACTTTCTAATCAGCCAATTACATGGCAGCTACTCAATGCATTTAGACAATCTGCTGCAGTTCAAACCAAGTGTCAGATTGGGGAAGAAAGAGGATTTAAGAGACTTTAAACTTGGCATGGTTGTTGGTGCCAGACGGGCTGGTCTGAGTATTTCAGAAACTGCTGATCTACTGAGGTTTTCAACCACAACCATTTTTGTGGGCGCTTTTTGATGTCAAAGGTCAGAGGAGAATGGCCAGTCTGAGCTGATATAAAGACAACAATAACTTAAATGACCACGTGTTACAACTGAGGTCTGCAGAAGAGCACCTCTGAATGCACAACACGTCAAACCTTGAGGCGGATGGGCTACAGCAGCAGAAGACCTCACTAGGTGCCACTCCTGTCAGCTAAGAACAGGAAACTGAGGCTACAATTCACACAGGCTCACCAAAATAGGACAACAGAAGAATGGAGAAACGTTGACTAGTCTGATGAGTCACGATTTCTGTTGCGACATTTGGATGGTAGGGTCAAAATTTGGCATCGTCAACATTAAAGCATGGATCCATCCTGCCTTGTATTAACGGTTGGAGGTGGTGTGATGGTGTGGAGGATATTTTCTTGGCACTTATTAGGTTCATTAGTACCAATTGAGCATCGTGTCAACGCCACAGCCTACCTGAGTATTGTTGCTGACCGCATCCATCCCTTTATGACCACAGTGTACCCATCTTTGATGGCTACTTTCAGCAGGATAACGCGTCATGTCATAAAGCGGGAATCATCTCAGACTGGTTTCTTGAACATGACACTGAGGGAAGTCAAAAAGTGATCCAACCCAGCACTAGTAAGATGTACCTAATAAAGTGGCCGGTGAGTGTATATACAGTGCTGTAGCATATTATATAAAGAACTCATGTGTGTTAAAGCTTTTAAAGGGAAAGTTCGTCCAAAACTGAAAATTCTGCCTTCATTTATTTACCTTGTACTCGCTCCAAACTTGTTCGACTTCTTTTTTTTTTAACCATTTCTGTGTCTGTATGATTTGAGGGGGGAATAAATGTCAAAATTAATACATTTTAAATAAGACTTGTCAAAGCATTTATATTCATAAGTACTTCTTTTAAAATATGAGTGTGTTCGTGTGTGTGTATATATATATATATATATATATATATATATATATATATATATATATATACAGAAGAGGACAGGACAGAAGAGATGAGACAGGAATACATGGGGAGCATAGAGAGGAGGAGGATTAGCAAAGGACCTCGAGCTAGGAATCAAACTCAGGTCGCTGTGACCACCTCAGTGCTAAACATTAAGGTTGGGCACCACTAGAGGCAGAATGAATAGGGAGTAAATGTTCATTTTTTGGGTGAACTGACCCTTTAAGCCAGTCTTTCCACTCTTCGGGGAAGTCAACCTTCAAATGGCTAACTAATAGCTGTCACGCATTTAAACATCGATACAATTACACCATTAAATCTGTTAACACAGGTAACCTTACAAGGTAGCATTACCTTTCTAATGCCTGATCAATAATCCATGAAGTTCTCAGAGTTCCCTTTATTTTCTTAGGAGTGATTGTGTGGAACAAGATAGCGGTAAATACTGTTAGTGAAGTATCGCCTCGCTTTCTCACATAACAAACAACTCCAATGTCCGAGGCACGAAATGACACAAAAGGTCTGATTGTTGCTTGTTTCTCCAGCATGGCATCTGGCCGGGTGAGGCGGTGTTGATGATGCTGGATGACCTGGAGCTGCAATGGAAGCGAGGACTCCTGTCGCACCTGCAGTCTGCTGTCGAGCTGCTTATAGGAGCCACTCTTGGAGAACATCTGGACAAGGTTTGATGCCTTTGGAAACATGCAAAGTCAAAATTACTGAAGTCAAAATTATTAGCCCTCCTGAGAATTTTTTACTTTTTTCAAATATTTCCCAAAGTATGTTTAACAGAGCAAGGAAATTTTCACAGTATTTCTTATAATATTTTTTCTTCTGGAGAAAGTCTTATTTGTTATATTTCAGCTAGAGCAAAAGCAGTTTTTAATATTTAAAAAAAAAAAATTAAGGGTCAAAATTATAAGCCCCTTAATAAAGAAGGTGGTCCACTACAATATCATATTTTAAACTTTGTTTGTTGTGTAATGTAGCAGTGTGAACTTAAACAACGTCTCTGAATGTAATATGCTCAAAGTTCAAGGCAAAGAGAATTTGGCTTTTACAGAGTTAGCTTTGGCAAAGTTTGGGGACAACAAAAAAATATATCCAGGCTAGTGAGATCACAAGCGCTTCAAGTTACACACATACACCACACGCATACACCCCGCACAGAGCAGGGGCGTGGCCAGAGGCACTGTAATGCTGTAATGTAGCAGAGAAAGCTAAATTGCCGTCTAAACACTGCTATTTCCAGAGAGCTCATTCTGTTTCTGAATTTTGGCTTTCAAAGGACACAACACAAAGAGAGAAGTGCTTATGGTTTAATTTTTATTATGTTCCAGAGAATTTAAAAATACATAGCGCTAGCATTTGACAAAGGAGAACTTCCAAAATCTCTCTCTGTTCAGTGCTGGATTCAGCTAAAAACTCCTCCAACCATAATAGACGATGATGTGGATTGTGAGTCACAGCCTGTAAGTATTTTTATTTGTTAAAATTGATCTATTACATGCATAGGTTCTAGTGTTAATAGTATGTTGTAGAGAGGATGTAAACAACGAGAAATGCTGTTTGGCACTGTTAACAATTTAGCTACAAATTCATATTTATCCGCCAAACCCCGGTAAAGACTCACAATCTTCAGCAGCGCATGCAGTGTCTGTCTATACGGCCACTTTCCTTGCATTCTACATCACAAATAATGAACTTGCAAAAGATATGTGAACGTTTCATATTACTTACACATGCTTATTCCGAATACATGTGAAAGACACTTTTTGTGTCTTGGGTGATTTTATTTTAGAGAGCAGGCGTGAGGTTCAGCTGTGTGCTCCGTGTCATTGTCTGATTCAGGCACCAACTGATACGGCTAACAGCTACTCTGACTGACAGTGTTTATACTGCGCAATAGTGCACTTGTAGGTGTGTGACGCTTTTCCGGGGATGTAAGCTCATCCGCGAATCACAGCACATTATGTTAGCTGACCAATCACAGCCGCATGAGGGAGGGCCTTTTAGAGGAACAAGAAAATATGACAGTAGTTTTCATGTTAGCTGAGTAGCTGTATATAATCAAAGCAAGACTTATGAAAAAAATAACGTGATTTTCTACAAGTGAAGCATGAGCACACAATGCTTTGCATCTTATAAACACAACCAAGCCGTAAAAATACACTGTGGACCACCCCTTTAAGCATCTTTTTTTTATAGTGACATGCCTAATTACCCTAACTTGCCAAATTAACTTAAGCCTTTAAATGTCACTTTAAGCAGAATACTAGTATCTTGAAAAAATATCTAGTAAAATATCATGTAGTGTCATCATCATGGCAAAGATAAAATATTAATTTTTAGAAATTAGCTAATAGAACTATTACGTCTCAAAAAAATCTTCTCTTTAACAGAAATTGTTGAAAAAAATATACAGGGGGCTAATAATTTAGGAGTGCTTATAATTCTGACTTCAACTGTACAACATTATTTGTCATCACATTTAAATAACTGATCTACAGTAATAGCAAGCGGCGCTGACCTGAAGTGCATTTGTGTTTGTAGGAGCTCATTCCAAGACTTTGGCTGGTACAAAAACAAAAGACCCAGAAGATCGGTGAGCTTAATGTATTAATGTTTAGAACTGATTTTGAAGAATATTGAAGTATATTGTTGCAAGCGGCGACGCAGTGGCGCAGTAGGTAGTGCTGTCACCTCACAGAAAGAAGGTAGCTGGTTCCTGCCTCCCCTGGATCAGTTAGCGTTTCTGTGTGTAGTTTGCATGTTCTCCCTGTGTTCGCGTGGGTTTCCACCGGGTGCTCCTGTTTCCCCCACAGTCCAAAGACATGCGGTACTGGTGAATTGGGTAGGCCAAATTGTCCGTAGTGTATGAGTGTGAATGAGTGTGTATGGTTGTTTCCCAGAGATGGGTTGCAGCTAGAAGGGTATCCGTTGCGTAAAAATGTGCTGGATAAGTTAGCGGTTCATTCCGCTGTGGCGACCCTGGATTAATAAAGGGACTAAGCCGAAAAGAAAATAAATGAATAAATGAATTGTTGCAAGCGAATCTGCCCTACTAATGACAACAAAATGAAATTGCAAAAAAGAAGCTTATACAATTAGAAATAAAGGTACGAGAGCTGTCACTGAAGTAAAACCTTTTTACAAAAGTACACAAAGGGGTTTATATTAGTATCTAAAAGGTATGTATTAGTACCATAGTGTATTTTTAGGTACTATTATGCACATTTGAGGTAACAATATGGTACCTTATGAAAATGCACCGCCCCAGTGACTGCTCTTTTAGCCTGGTTTCTAAGGGGGTCTGGTAGTTTTCAGAAATATCTTTTAAGCTGTTTACTCAAAGACATCACTCACAGCAGGTTTATTAGATCAACTGTGAGTTTTCATGAATGGTGGGCATGTAAATGATGTGTCTTGGTAATCTCTCTTTCTCTCTCTCTAATCTACTTTAGAGTGCACTGGCTACATTCCACACATAGGTGAGAGACTAATGGGTTAATTAGTCAAATAATAAAACATTTAATGCCATTATATAAATTTGCATTCAGCAATGTAGTCAACGAGGATGTCTACGCAGAAGTTTTTATTATGCAGTGACAGAGAAATGTTGTATTTTGTTTCAGTGTGGAACTGGATTTGTGATGCTGCAGGTACGTTTCACATTTACATAAATCAAATAAATATAATTGTAAGTTATATGCATGCTATTTTCACACTTATCTGTGATTGTCTGGAGTCAGGCCTCTCAATTGACAATCAAACCTGCTAGATCTCTATATATACAAACTCAAACAGTTTTAGACAAGAAACCAGTTAGATGGCGCCATACAGAAGTGTAATCTGAAAATGCTGTTTATATGTCTCTTATTAAAATGATTTTTAAATGTATTGGTCATCTTGTTCGAGAAATTATATGCCGATTAACAACAAAATCAATCTGAACTGCGCAGCGCAGTACCAAAAACAAAACCTAAATTTGCACAATATGCAAAGGCTAAAGCTAAATCTACTCAAGCTAAATCACTAAAGCTACTAATTCTGGGGACTACAAAAATAAATAAATAAATAAAACACATCCGGGCTAGTGAGATCACAAGCATTTCAGGCTACGTGCATTCTACACAGCGCAAAAGCGCACGCTTGTTGGGAGGTGACGTGAAGCTGATTCCGCGAATCACAGCACATTATGTTAGCTGACCAATCAGAGCCTCTTGAGGCTGGGCCTTTCATCATAATCACATTGTAACACCCCTTATGACATAATTATTATACCCAAAGTCAATGTACTGGGCACCTTTTTAGCACAACAACAATTTTATTTCTTGAAAAACTTCCAAGATACACCTAACTCAACTGCATGACCATCCTCTTCCTCCAGTGGAGGTGTCGTTTGACCCAGAGACGGCTAACCCTTCTCTGCTGCTGTCTGAGGACTGCAAGCGTCTGCAGTGCGGGCTGGAGCGTCGTCCTGTCCCCTGCAACCTGCGCCGATTCGACGGCTGGTGGTGCTGCTTCGCCTCGCAGGGCTTCTCCTCAGGACGGCACTACTGGGAGGTCGAAGTGGGCGACCGTGACTGGCGCCTTGGTGTGGCCAAAGAATCAGCCCTCTGTAAGGGCTACAGGCCGCTGAACACTCAGAGCGGGTACCTGACCCTCCGGCTGGAGAGAGGCTCTGAGCTCAAAGCCCTGACCGCACCCACAACACCCTTACCCACCACGCTCATCCCGCGCCGAGTGGGGGTCTACCTGGACTATGATGAGGGGCAGCTATCCTTCTATGACATCCAGAAGAGGGCGCACATCTACACCTACAGCCAGAAGTTTACAGAGAAGCTTTATCCGGTGTTCGGGACGGTGGAGATGGTGCGCGAGATGGTGATCCGGCCTGCAGATCTGAGGGAGCCGTGTCTCTGTAAGGGCCAGTGTCTGTTCTGCTAATGCACACTGATTTGAGAAAATTCACACACATTCATGCGGTATTTGATCAATGCTTACAAAAACATAAATAGTTTGAAGGATGCATAGATGGTATTTTTGAATGATTATTTTTATTTTTTAGAAAAGCTTTGTTTTCTGCACCGCTAGGAATCGGAAAGGAGTTTTAAAACAAAAACCAGTTTGTGATTGGTTTGAAAAACAGATACAGTAGTCCCACCCAAAACTTGTCATTGGTTGAGCCAGTAGTAGGTCTGTTGAACTTTATTCAGACTGCTAATGCATGCTAAATGGCATCATATACTTCAAGCGTAAAAGCAAAATTTAAAATTAGTTTGCAGTTGGTTTTAGGAGTTAGATACATGCAGAAAAGTTTGCTTCAGCTGGTAAACACCACTAAACTACCATCGGTTTGTGGCTTTTATGTAATAAGTAGGTGTGGTTCTGAGGCTTTTTTAGACACTAAAATCTTTTGTAGTTAAATTTCCTCTGTTTAATTAAAAAAAAAAAAAACTGAGACCACATGAAGATTTCTTTAGATTTATTAGATATGGTTTTGGCTAAAATGTTCATATTTATTTATTTATTTATTTATTACATTTCCTCCATATTTTAAATAAAAATCTTGCCATTTAGAGTGTTTTCCCTCCAGAATATGTAAATGACAAAATTTCCATAAATTATTGATTTGACCCTTCTGACATTAAAACATTGATATCATTTTGTCCTAAAATCCTGATAAAAACTTACACATATATTATCATTAAACTACAAATGTTTTTTTCTTTCTCAACTACATTCACAATCGAAATTTGGAAGAAAACCGTTCACAGAATAAAAAACTAATGACATTTTACTCTGAGACAGAATTTTCCAACATAGACTCATTCTGAAAATGTGGCCTACTGTATATACATTTCTGAAGATCGTGAATTATGTAGCTAGAAGTACGAATGGCTGCATTTTTGTCTTTAAAACGAACGCTAGGGGGGGCGCTATGGTGCTGTTTCCTTTTCGCGGTTACCAGCTGACCACTGTCTTCCGTATGGGCGGCTTCCCCCCGTTACAAGTTTGTCCAGTAGCTCACTGTGTACGTTGGCAGACTTGAGACGCAGACAGGAGTTGACCACGAGTGTGACGAAGAATAGTTCCAGAAAACAGGTCAGACAAAAACTGAAAAAAATAAAATAAACCAGTAAATAACAGGGGGAGAATGTGGTATAATCTGAAAATGTGGTAAAAATCAGGCGAGAGCTTTTCTTTTTCTGGATTTCAGTCAGTCAGTCAGTCGACAGCGTCTTCTGGTGGATTTACACAAGAACAGCAGGGCCAAATGGCACTCGCCAGAGAAATTTTAGATCTTAAAAGTGTACACAGTGACCTCTGGTGGATTTGCAAAAACAAAAACTGCAAAAAAAATTTTGCTCCTGGGACATATTTTGCCACTCTCCAGAAATGTAAATAGCGGTACGTTTTCAGAATGAGCCTGGGTTGGAATTTTCACTATTCTCTATATTTTTCCAAAATTTTAAATCTGGTTTTAAAATGAAAACACAGACGCAGTGTTTACACGCTGAAGTAATCAACCTGCAGATGACATTTGTCCATGCATATTACTCTGGGACTAATTTAAACACTAAAACTGACAGCTTTTTCAATGTGCAGCTATTAAAATGCTTTCTACAAAGGGCTTGTTTCCTCAAACTAACTGATGCATGAGTACTGGGAATGTGTTTTTTTGTTTGTTTTGTTTTAGTCCCAATATTTATGCAATCAATTCATACACAGCTAGTTAACACACAAAATTAGATTATTTTGAAGATTTATTTTTGATTTTCTAACATGAAAAATCTCCTTTGATTTGATTGTTTAATTTTCAAAATTTTCTTTGTAATTTTTCATACTGAAATCTGATTCATTTGCAGACTTGTGATTGCTCTTTTTTCCAATATTTACCCATATATGAGCATTTTTTGTATTATTTGATGTGCACAGCTTACAGAAAGCAAGATAAGACAAACCCAAGGCCTGAAACCCAAATATATTCATTGCTACTCTGAATGCACTATTTTTCATGAAATTTGAGCAAATATTGAATGTAGTCTTATTCATCTACATGTTTGTTTATAGAAGGTACTGTTAGTAAGTAGTACATTACTCAATGTACAGCATTTTAGTAGGTCGCAGTGTCTTAAAAACACTTGATTGCACCTAAATCTGTTTCTAATAAACAAAGTAGACACACAACGACTCGACTGCGGTAAGAGGATTTATTGTTTCATTAAGTGTGGTGAACTGATATGCAGTGAAAAGTCTTGCGCACTACATAATAATGCTTGAATATGATGATGAAATGCAATTTTTATATAAAATATCTAAAAAAAAAAAAAAAAAACTCCCTACAAGTAAAAAGTATCATACAGATTGCTTTCAAAAGTTGTTTAAATGAACATAGGTGTGGGATTGGTACTCGTTTCCAATCGTGTACAAACCTAGCAAACTTTAAGTCATCTGGAAAAACAGGCCTGGAGTTACATAAGCACATCTTGCAACCAGGCAATAAAAAAAACAAAACCTCAGTAACGTATTTACAGTCTTAAGAATCAAGTCCATATGCATGCGCTCATGTTGCAACATTTTTTTTTTATGCAACCTTTTAGAAGTTCAGTTTTTTGAGTGAAGAGGACAAATACTAATGAGCATCTGAAAGTATATGTTTTAAATCAAGAGGCATTGCATATTTAATGTGAAAAATACATTTAAAAAACCTCTACAAGAAACTAGATACAACTTAACATCAATGATATAAACATCATGATATGAAATCTGACATTCAAAATAAGCAACAGAAGAAAAAACGTATAGTAGATAAGTGCCCACACTTTTTCAGCAATGCTGGTTCTGGAAGTAGTTTTCTAATTTAGTTTTCCAAAAGGGATTTCCAAAGTCTTTAAGCATAATAAACAATGAAGCCAACCAAACTTTGCTTTGCAGGGAAGAAAACCGCACAAAAAAGGCAAAGCTACAAAACTCTAAGGTAAAATTTTCCTTCAGTGAGGGAAATTACTACAATGACACACTGCCAAAAAATTACACGACAAAAAGTTATGATAACAAATGTTTTTATGTTACTTTAAAGGGCACCTATGTTTGGACAGAACTGTGTGGAGCTATAGTGTGTCCACAGTCATATTGGGGTGATATGAACACAATAAGTCTCTATTTTTTTTTTTTTTCCTGGCGTTAAAGTAGGATAAGAATCCCTGCCATTTTGAGGCCCTCTGCAACGTGACGTATGAGTGCAGTTTCCCCGCACGCCGAGATTGAGATTGACAGCCGCATATTAACATGTCTCCATAGTAACACGTATAATTATATGAACAAGACAGAATTTACGCAAAACAACTAGGATTAAAAGATCTGTTCTGCTCTCTGTGATCATCAGTCATCATCAAATGTGATCCAAACAGCAGTGGATATTAACGTGTATCCTGTCACATTTGTCGTGACAAATTAAACGCTACAATGTGTTCAGGGCAGAAAATTCCAGTATTCTGAAAGTACTTTGACTGATCATGCTCTCTGATTGGCTAATTTTCTGAATAGAATTGTGGGTAATGTAGTTTGATTCCTGCCATTAAATAATTGTGCATATATACATAAACATTTCAGTATTTTAAGAATGATAAGTAGCATTGCTGTGAGTGGGCGGTGCTAAACAACTCTTTTAGGGTACTCTGTGCTTGATAACACTTTCTGATTAGCTAATTTTCTGAATAGAATTGTGGGTAATGTAGTTTGAATTCTGCTATTAAATAATTGTGCATATATACATAAACATTTCAGTATTTTAAGAATGATATTAAGCATTGCTGTGAGTGGGCGGTGCTAAACAGCTCTTTTGGAGGACTCTGCTTGATAACACTCTTGGATTGGCTAATTCTCCAAATAGAATCGTGGGTAATGTAGTTTGAATTCTTCCATTAAATAATTGTGCATATTTACATAAATATTTTAAGAATTATAATTAGCATTGCTGTGAGTGGGAGGTGCAAAACAGCTCTTTTGGTGTAGTCTGCTTGATAATGCTTTCTGATTGGCTAATTTTCCAAATAGAATCGTGTGGAATGTAGTTTGAATTCTGCCATTAAATAATTGTGCATATTTACATAAACATTTTAACATTTTAAGAATGATAATTAGCATTGCTGTAAGTGGGCGGTGCTAAACAGCTTTTTTGGAGCACTCTATTTGATAAAGCTCTCTATTTGGCTAATTTTCTGAATAGTGTGTGGTATTGTGGGTAATGTAGTTTGAATTCTGCAATTAAACAATCGTTTAAAAAGTAGGGTGAATAAATTTGACCAGATCAGCAAAAAGCACATAAAACATCAGAGGGATAAAAATGGTCAAATTTAAAGGGATAGTTCACTCAAAAAAAAAAAAATTCTCACGATTTACCTCACCCTAAATTGGTTCCAAACCTTTATGAGTTTTTTTTTTTTTGTTGAACACAAAAGAAGATATTTTGATGAATGTTGGAAACCGGTAGGCACTGGCATCCATAGTAGAAGAATCAAATACTATGGAAGTCATTGATCAATGATTTTAAACGTTTTTTTATTTTTATCTTCTAGAGAAGTGTGAGTAAACAATGACCGAATTTTCAGTTTTGTGTGAACTATTCCTTTAAAAGGTTTATCAGTTTCCCTATGGAGAAAAGAATGGAGTTTTTCTTTTAATTCCAGAACTCGACATCTACACTCTGTAGGAAACATGGTTTGTTGCAACAAATAGGTTTTAACAAATACCTGTTTGGAATGGTTGAAATAACACTCAAAGGTTTAATTAAGTCTTTACATTCCACATTTGATCAAGGCTTGAAGGCTTTGGTGTTCATGAGACTGCAGGAGCTCTGTTTTCAGGCCTCGTAGTACTGTCTCTCCAGCCTCTTGGTGACGGTGCTGCTGGACATCACTCCTCTCTGCACCATCTCCACCTGCCGTGTCATGGAGCCACCCGACTCTGTGATCTGCCTGCTCGACATCATCATCATCCCGTCTACAAACACAAGCACAAAATAAATACATAAATAATAATAATAATAATAAAACATTTATAATAATAATAAACCAATAAATAATAAATCAATATGTTCAATGGCTAATTTTCAAAAAGTCTTTTTAAAGCAATATAAATAATGAATGGGGAAAAAGGGGAAAAAACTGCAAAAAAAGACAAAAGTACAAAACTGAAAGGTAAAATTACAACATTTTATTATCATTTATTTTTTGTGCTTTAAAACCTTGCATTAATTTGAGGTTAAAATATTATACCAATCACAAAATAATAAAGATTATTAGTAAAAAATGTATTATTTAATAATACTACACATGTACTAACAGCAATAATAACTTGTTACTCAGATTGTACTGAACTAACAAGAATAATCAGTAAAGGCTCAAATGTCAAAACCTTTTATTTCATTTTGTTTTATGAAAAAATATGAAAATGTGGTGCATTTGGTATTGCAAAAATTAAAATAAAATTTTAAACAATTTTTTTTTTATATTTAACAGCAATATAAATAAATAGATTAATAAATCAGTAGGCTAAAATTATTTGTTTTATTTTTTAAAATTAAAAATATTTGTTATAGAAAAAAATATTAATCAAAATCTGCAAGGATAACCTTTTATTTATATTTTTTGCATATATATTTATCCAATCATTCATTCATTTACTTTTCGGCTTAGTCTCTTTATTCATCAGGGGTCGCCACAGCGGAATGAACCGGCAACTTAGCCTGCATATGTTTTACTCAGCAGATGCCCTTCCTGCTGCAATCCAGTACTGGGAAACATTCATACACTCCCAGTCACACACACTATGCCCGATTGAGCTCATTCAATTCACCTATACCGCATGTCTTTGGACATGTAAACTTAGGTGGATGTACGCATTAAAACAGCTTATAGAAGGAGGAGTTTAAGCTCAAGCTCCCCCTCGCTGGAGCTTAAGTGGCTCTGCAGCGAGAAATGCCAACTGACCCAGCCAGGGCTCAAACTAGCGGCCTTCTTTCTGTGAAGTGATCGTGCTACCCACTGCACCACCGTGACATCCAATAATAACAATTATTAGTAAAAAATAATTATTTAATACTACTATATATTTAGTAACAGCAGTAAAAACGTGTTAATCAGATTGCACTGAACTAACATGAATAATGAGTGTAAGTTCAAATGTCAAAAACATTTTTTATTTTTTTTGTTTTATTTATGAAAAATTATGAAAAAAAAACATTCTGTGATCCAGTGGTGCAATTTGTATTGCAAAAAAAAAATAATAATAACAATAACTTAAACCTGACAGTAATAAACTTATTAAAATAAAAATATATGTAAAAATTTGTTTCATTTAAGTAAAATCAAATTCAGCATATCTCCAAATAAATACACAATTAATCAAAATAATCATACTAAATTTGTTATATTTAGTTGCAATATAAATAAGTAGATTAATAAATCAATAGGTTAAAATTATTCATTTTATTTTCAAAACTATATTTGCCATAAAAACATATATATTTTTGCATATTCATTTATAATATGTATTTTTTGGATCATAAATAAAAATGTATTTATATTTTTATACATTATAAAATAACATTCAACATTCTATGAGGACCATTAAAACAAAACTCCAGAGTTGCATAGGATTAAAACTCAGGGAGACGTGGAGCGTGTGTTTTTACCTGAAGAAACAAAGGGCTCTGAGAACATGGTGTGTGAAGTGTGTGTGATTTCTGTGGGCAGATTGAACACCTCTCTCTTCGTGACCGACTGACTGCTGTATTGGGACATGGAGCCTGAGGAAGACCAGAAAACAGGCTTTAGCAAACACACTTCATCATTACCAGCCACATCCTCAAAGACATCACAAAATACACTGTGATATAAAAATCTTTGAGATTTGACTGGATCATAATAAGTCACAAACCTCCATCCTGGGACTCGATGGTGATGATTCCCTCTCGCTCTGGGCCAAAGCCCTGCGTGGTCTGAGCTTGAACTTTGAATTTGTAAGGCATGTTTTCTTTCAGGTCAGAGACAGTCAATGAAGTGGCTGCATTGCCATTCACCTGGAAGGAGCGAAGATCTCCTGTACGAATTCAAAGCACAAAAAAGTGATGTCGATATTTTGTGTGATTTTTCTGACAACGATAATAAAGCAGCATTGAGCTTACTGTGATTTTGTGTTCGAAATTTTAATCATTCAGGCCTGTCATAGATGTACATACAGTATATGACACTAAAACTGCCAGAAAATGCCACCAAGTCAGTGTCTCAATGAGCGATTCACTGAATTTGTTTAAAACTCCTGACTTATTTAGAAGTCAAGCAAGAGTCTTTATGAATGGATTAGTGAATCAATGACTCACATAATTCATTCAAAATTAAAGATTCGTTTAGAAGCAAAGCAAGCAACTGTCCTCATAAATGGATCAGTGAATCAATGGCTCAAGCGATTTGTTCTAAACCAAGCAAGCAACTGTCTTTATGAATCAATCAGCAGCTCAAACAATTTGCTTAAAACAACTGATTCATTTGAAAACCAAGCAAACAACGGTCTTTATGAATGTATCAGTAGCACAAACTATCTGTTCAAAACAACTGATTCATTTGGAAACCAAGCAACTGTCTTTACGAATGCATCCGTGAATCAATGGCTCTAGCAATTATTTCAAAACAACTGATTTATTTGGAAACCAAGCAAGCAACTGTCTTTTCAAATGCATCAGTGAATCAATGGCTCAAGAGATTTGTTCAAAACTACTGAATCATTTGGAAACCAAGCAAGCAACTGTCTTTTCAAATGCATCAGTGAATCAATGGCTCAAGAGATTTGTTCAAAACTACTGAATCATTCAAAAACCAAGCAAGCAACTGTCTTTATGAATGGATCATTGAATCATTGACTCAAATGATTTGTTTAAGAAATTATTCAATAAGGAATGATTCACTGCAGTGTTTCTCTGAGACGCTCAAATGCTCTGGTTTGGCTTTGTTAAGGAATGTATTTACTGGTAAATCAGAGACAATATTGTGTTTCATATGAAACTTTAAAACAGGATGGTGTCTGACCTCCACCATGCAGCTGTTCGCAGGTCACCACGTATCCCAGGATGTCTCCGTTGGGTTTTCGGGGTTTCTCCCAGCTCAGCTGCAGTGTATCTGGACGTAACGCTGTGAAGATCAGAGGTCCTGGAGCGCTGGGAGTGCTGAGAGTGAACGGAGACCCTGAAGAACATGCATGAGAACATGTTTATTAATAATTTAAAGATGAAGTGGGTTGAAGATTTCATCAAAGCTGCCCCTGCTGACAACAGTTAAGACAATACACTGCTGGTAAACAGGGTATAATAGAGTATAATAGTTATTACCACACTTTCCCAGTTGACTGATTACAATAGGAATTAAAAACATTTTTCTAATACAAGTCAAAATGTTCTAAATTGTTACATTTAAATATGCAATTGAGGCACTATTTCATTTAATGTGCACCAATTTGCATAAATGTTAAGGTTGCACGATATTGGATTTTATTTTTCAACAATTTCACCGAATGGTTTGAATAGCTATATTTGACGTTTTTCCTCAGGAGTCTAACAGTATTCAGGTACAGAATTTGAATAGTCAGAACACATTTTTTTTTCCAAATATCTCAATTTTAAGTAAAATTTTAAGTCTAATAAGTAAAAATATTGTTGTGTTCTGTAAAATAATACATTTTTCAAACAAGCAAAATAATCTGCCAATGGGGTAAGTAAAATAATATTGTTTCTGGTTTGATACAAAAATTTATTACAGAAATTGTAAGAAAAGCATTTTTTTCCAGTGCAAATAAAAATATAACACTGAGTATTTCCTTACTGTAGAATTAAATACAATTCATCAAGGTTACACCTCAAATGTCATCATTTTTTGTGCCCACATGTTACAAACTCTCTTAAAACGCTCACAATCCAAGGCCTTAAAAACACACTAATGACACTTTCACTCTATTATGGTTGGACTTTGCAGTGACTCTACAAATCACATATGTTCTCTGGCTCCTGGTCAAATATACACCAGCGGTCAAAAGTTTGAGGTCAGTTTTTTAGGCATTTTTTTAAAGTAAATTATTCTTTCATTCTGTTTAATAATAATGATAAAAATGATAATGATAGGGAGACGCGGTTGCGCAGTAGGTAGTGCTATCGTCTCACAGCAAGAAGGTCGCTGGTTCGAGCCTCGGCTGGGTCAGTTGGCGTTTCTGTGTGGAGTTTGCATGTTCTCCCTGCGTTGGCGTGGATTTCCTCCGGGTGCACTGGTTTCCCCCACAGTCCAAAAACATGCGGTACAGGTGAATTAGGTAGGCTAAAAATGGTCCGTAGTATATGTGAGTGTGCGAATGAGTGTGTATGGGTGTTTCCCGAAGGGCATCCGCTGTGTAAAACATGTGCTGAATAAGTTGTCATTTCATACCGCTGTGGCGACCCCAGATTAATAAAGAGACTAAGCTGAAAAGAAAATGCATGAATGTATGAATGAATAAAAATGATAATAATAATAATAATAATAATAATAATAATAATAATAATAATAATAATATTAGAGTGATTTCTGAAGGATCATCAAGACTGGAGTAATGTAGCTGAAAATTCATCTTTAAAATCACTGGAATAAACTATTAAATTAAATGATAAACTACTTTGAACAGTTATTTTACAGTGCAATAACACTTCACTATTTTACAATTTGTACTGTATTTTATGTATACTGTACTGACCCCTAACTTTTGACCAGTAGTGTAATTCAGACTTATCGTAGCAGATTCTGCGACGTGACTATTGCGGATGTGCACACTGGGATATTGATGCTGAAGCCATATTTTTTTGTCCAATCAGGCAAATCACATATCAACATATATCTCTATAATCCTTCATAATACAGATATGAATAAAACTGTCTGTGCAAGAGCCCACGAGGTGCAGATTTAAGCCTTAGTGCAAAAAAAGCATTTTGAGAAAATAGACTTTAAAACATGTATTGCAATTGAAATTGGTAATGTGTTGCAAAAGATTTGGCTTACATTTGACTTAAAAAAACACTCAAAATCTCCAAAATCAGGTGGATGAAAGAACTGTGTTTGTGCAGTGTGTTCCTCTCACCGGGCACTGGGCTCAGTGGACTCTTGGGGTCGACGTTGGACTCAATGGTAATGACGCCCTCTCTCTCAGGACCCCAGCCCTCTCGACTCTGTGCTTTGACTTTGAAGATGTAGGACTGGTTAGGCAGGAGATCCTGAACCAGCACTGAGTTCTGAGCAGGATTGTTCACCTCGATACGTTTTACGTCACCTAACAGACAAACACAATACAATACAATGAAATAAAAATCAATAAACAACAACTAAAGAATTATTGTATTCTCAATACTGTGTAAATTTATGATTTACAATCTTATTTTTAAAATATTATTATTATTTATTAATATATATAATTTTTTTAATATTGAAAAAGTTGAGAAATAACCCTGATTTTCAAATCACACAAAAAACAAACATTTTTTTATTCTGATCTTCATTTTCGGAAAGAAAAAAGGTCTAACACGGTGTCTAACAACACACAACTCCAGCAACAAACAATTTGGCTTTCTGCACCAAAAGTGATGAGACACGACAGAAACATTCAAATACTGGTAACAGCATCTCCCACTGAAATAGCATAAAGGCTTTTAATCTAATAATACATATTTAACCTCTTTAACGTTATTAATAGAGTACTAAGTGACTGACGTTGTTAATTTACACTCACATTTCTGAATTTAACTTTCAAGCTGTCTGCAGGTTGTTTTATTTTTAAGATCTGAGGTAAACTATCTGCTGCTGCGTTCAGCATTATGGCAATAAATGTCATGTAAAATGATATTTAAACTCACATTAGGAGCATTTAACACTGATTAAAGCACATAATCTCTACCTGAGGTGATCTTTGTCACTGTAGTACATGATGTTGTTCTCTTGCGACTAACAGAAATTTGGCGTGTCGCCTTCATGTGGATGGTTAGGACAAAAACATCTTTTAACACGGAAAAGATAATTTTTATCGCATGTTGTGGCGTCGCTTGAAGTTAGGACACACTTTAAAGAGCCCATATTATGGGTTTTTGAAAATTCCCCTCCATGTAGTGTGTAACACAGCTCTAAGTGAAGTGAAGTATCCAGCTAAGGCTTAAATCTGTAAGAATACAGTGTTTAAAACGGTTGATTCATCTATAAAAGAGTCGACTCATAGTGCTTCAAACGAGTCGCCTTGATACCGAGTCATTAGGTGTTTCGCCATGACGTACGAAGGAAACCAAGTTATTCACGTGTACGCGCAAACCCGGGAGATTTCAAACCTGAGGCCCCGCCCTCTGACGCAGAAACCCAGACACACACACACACACACCCACAAACACACGCACACAAACATGCCGGTCGATTGAAGTCACACTGCAGATGGATATTATATCGAGTCTCTACCCAAAGACGAAACATCAGCATTATAGCCAAGCAGTTGGAAACTACTGGAAACTTCTGGAAACTACATGCTACAAAGAATACTTCATCTGAGTTTGTTAAAGGAAGGATCAGTAAAGAGTAACTTACTGATGGACGTCAGGATGGGTTTCCATTTCTCAAGTGTAAGTACTTGCGATTAAAGTTGTTGCCTCGTTGACTCTGGCTTGCAAATGTATTTAGTTGTGATTTGTTACTTGTAACCGAGTGTACTGTATCAGGTTAACTGGCTATATTCTCTTATCGCGTGCAAAGTCACGTTAAAAACGCGACGCGTGCTGCTTTGTTTATGGAGCTCCGTGGTAGAGGTCTACATACCCGCGGCTGTCCCCGCGCCAGATTTCTGCGGCGCGGTAATAAATTTCCGAATAAATCGCGGGAGCGGTCGGTAACGGGTTTAATTTGGGACGGGAGCGGGCTGTCTAGCAATATCACGGATCTTGCTATGCGAATGAGAAAGATGTGTCTGCTTGGTGCTTGTGTGTATGTGTGTTAGTGCGCACGCGCGCGTATGAGAGAGAGAGAGAGAGAGAGAGAGAGAGAGAGAGAGAGAGAGAGAGAGAGAGAGAGAGAGAGAGAGAGAGAGAGAGAGAGAGAGAGAGAGAAACCTGGCGGGTGCGGGCGGAAGCGTTGTCGTCCGGAGGTGTGTGTGTGGCAGCTAAAATCCACGCCTACACTATCGAGCGTGTATGAACTGTGATTACTTTTTATATTGCTGATTAGCTATTGGGCATTTCACTCTCTGACTGAAGGCAGTCGACCAATCGCGACAGACTGTCATCGGTCCAATCAGCGCAGATTAGCTTCGCGCTAAGGAGGGGTTTGGGAACAAATGAATCACTGGATGATTCATACGGGAGTCGCTGGGATAATTAGGTAAAAATAAATGCAGATTATAAGACCATGAAAGTGTTTTTTGACCTTGCATGCATATTAGACTGTTGTTGGAGACCCTTACAACCAAGATATGACCCTAGTTCATGTATAATATGGGCTCTTTAAAGCTCTAAATAACAAAATTTCTATTTTAAGTTTTGAAGAAATGTTCTCACTATAGATTAAAACATTTTACCATATCTAAAAAAAATCCAAAGAAACTGAGAACTAGTACCGATCTACCTTATACTTGGACTACGCAAGGTGCATAGGGGCCCGCAAGTTACAGAATGCAATACAGTTAGAATGTGGTCATCATAATCAGTTAAAAGTCCATGTGAACCGGAAATTTTATTTCAGTATGTTGATATACTTCCATCTGAAACTGAATATTGAGTAGAGATATTGCATGTCATTCCCTCATAGCAAGCTAACGGTAATAGCTAAAGGCATCAAACTGATGACAACACAAGGACCGGCACTCCAAACACGTAAGAAAATGGGCAGAATTTGATTGAAGATTACCAACACTTTTTTTTTTTTAGTGGATTGACTTGTTTACCTAAAGAATAACAAAGTGCGCTAGCAAGCATAAACATAATGTTTTATTTAACACAGACTTTTACCCATAGTGTCGAAAACAGTTTTATTTTAACATTGACCAAGTCTAACATGTGTGAATGAGAAAAGATGTTTCACCTCCATTGATGAGCTGGTAAAGGACGCAGTATCCCAGTACATCAGACTCGCAGTGTGGCTCCTGCCAGCTCACTTTGAGAGCCGTGTGGCCCAGAGCTGAAAACACCAGTCTGCTGGGAGTCGCGGGAACACCCGGGGTGAAGCGCGATTCTGAGGGCACGAGCAGTTCACAAGGCACAATGTCAAACCGCAGAACACACACATTTCATTTTGCAGCCACAGATTGCTTGATTGGTTCAGCATTGGGAAAACAGCGGGGAATTGGCTGAGGTGTGTCAGTGTGTAAGTAAAAGCAGAGACGCTACAAACTTCCTACATAGTTCAGTAGTTTGACAGTAGCTCAGCTGTTTTTATTGATACTTTTCCTGTGACTAGCTAATGCTCACAAGCATTTTTGATAAACTGTATTTTGTTCTTGCCAGGTGAACTAGACAATAATCATACATGTTTTCATAAATTTGTTTTGAATGTGTTCATTTAAAAAAAAAAAGATTTTAGTTAATATCATTTTTAAAGTAATTCTAATGCTTTTATCCTCAGTGTTTTTTTTCCAGATTAAATATTGTTATTATGATGATTCAGCAACTTTTACAGTAATTAAACAGTGTCTTGGTAAACTGATGAATTGATACATATTGAAAGATGATTTTAGCTTATAATAACTGAATATCCTATAAGAGTCAAAATCAAGTATAATAGATGTAGATTTAAAAATAATGCAATTTAAAAAGTACCATATACAGTTGAAGCCAGAATTATTAGCCCTCTTGTTTATTTTCCCCCCCAATTTCTGTTTAAGATTTTTCAACATGTTTCAAAACATAATAGTTTTAATAACTTATCTCAAAAACTGATTTACTTTATCTTTGCCATGATGACAGTAAATAATATTTTATTCAATATTTTTCAAGACACTTCTATACAGCTTAAAGTGACATTTAAAGGCTTAACTAGGTTAATGAGGTTAACTAGGCAGGTTAGGGTAATTAGGCAAGTTATTGTATAACAGTGGTTTGTTCTGTAGGCTATTTAAAAAATATATAGCTTAAAGGGGCTTAATAATTTTGACCTTAAAATGGCTTTTGAAAAATCAAAAACTGCTTTTTTTTCTAGCAAAAATGAAACAAACAAGGCTTTCTCCAGAAGAAAAAATAATATCAGACACTGTGAAAATTTCCTTTCTCTGTTAAACATCATTTGGGAAATATTAAAAAAATAAAAAAATTCAAAGGGGGGCTAATAATTCTGACTTCTACTGTATGTATTTAGTAATCACATTTAAAATGTTAAAGGTGCAGTAGGTGATTGTCTTCAGAAGCATGTTTTGTTGTGCTGGTTGAAAGTCTTCACATTCCAATAGTAATGGTTAAAGTAAATGATCTGATTGTATTTATTTGTATTTTTATATTTTGGATAAGGCATAAGACTAAAAATGTTCATCCAATTAAATACTATTTAATAGCATTTAATTCCCATAATTCTGATAAATAGCTCAAACTGTCTGTCAGCAAATGTATATCAAATTTTATTTTTTATTTTTAAAATAAAGACATCTGCTGAATGCATCAATTTTATTAAATTATAATTATGTTTAACACTATTCGATAATCTCAATCTTCTAGTGTCAAAATAATTACACAAATTAAGAAATTGAAAAAAAATTGAAGACCACCATTGTTAAAATGCAACATATGTATTTATATAAATTTAATAGAGAATGGTACATTTATAATATTATGACATAATAAAATATTCATTCATTCACCTTTGGCAACTGCCATAATATAATATAATATAATATAATATAATATAATATAATATAATATAATATAATATAATATAATATAATATAATATAATATAATATAATATAATATAATAATATAATATAATATAATATAATATAAAATAATATAATATAACATAATATAATATAATATAATATAAAATAAAATAATATAATATAATATAATATAATATAATATAATATAATATAATATAATATAATATAATATAATATAAAATTAAATAATATAATATTATATAATATTATATAAAATAATATAATATAATATAATATAATTAATATAAAATAAAATAATATATTATAATATAATATAAAATAATATATTATAATATAATATTATATACTATTATATAAAAAAAATAAAATAACATAAAATAATATAATATAATATAATATAATATAATATAATATAATATAATATAATATAATATAATATAATATAATATAATATACAAAGTTTAATAAAAGTATTTAATTTTGATCTAAAACAAATAATAATAAAAATAACATTTTATACTGAATGTATACCAAAACTTTTATATATGATTTGACCACTTTACATTGACATCTAGTTTCAAAGTAGCCTCCCATGATGCACTGGTGGTTGTTTCCAGGTTCACTCACCCTGAAGAACACTATCCAGGTTCAGCAGAGCATCGTTGATATCTTCAGACTGAGTACGAGCTCTGGAGCTCAAGCTGTAGCTGGTAGATGTAGTCTGGCTGAAGCTAGAGACCCCTGAGAGGCAGCCAAGCCACGGCAGGGTGTGGAGGGAAAGGGTTGGCAGGCAGCCGTCGCATGACGAGAAATCAGCAGGGGAAAAATGTGTAGAGAAAAGACAAATGGGAGAAGGAGGAGGAGGAGAAAAAGAAGAGCGGGGATGAAGCGAGAGTCAGCCGAGGATTCTTGCCAAAAGCTGCACCTTGCCAGGCATTACATCAAATTTGATTGGTTTTGAAATTATGTGGAGGCAGATCTATCAAGCTCACATTACCTAAATTGTCCAAAAGTCCACCAGACAGGTTTCCCATTACGATTGAGTCCCTCACACCATCACCTTCTGTGTAATGCCTGTTTTCAGAGCGTTTTCTCAGGATCACGTCTTCTTTGAGAAGTCCACCGTCTCTTACATCATATCTGTGTGTAGTTGAGCCTCCTGATTGATAGAAAACAAGGATGAACTGATGAACTGTGCATTTAAAGCATATGAAGTAATTTAAAGGATGATTCATGAGCCCTTTCTGTCATCAATTATAAATCACTATTCCAAACCAAATTTTTGGTTTCAGTGAAACACAAAAATAGATGCTCTAAATGATATTATTCAGTGCTAATCCTGTCTAAAATGAATACAGACAGGAAAGAAACACTAGATGAAAAGTCCTGTCTGTGCTCCCCAAGAGAATCAATTGGTTTGTATAACAGACCACAATGTACTTTCTTTATTATCTTAAAACACACTTTTATTGAATACTCACCGAATATTTACCACCATAAATACCAGTCTGCTGTGTATGCAAAGCTATTAAAGGATTTCTGAAACATACTTTCATGTTACTTTTGATGCTTAATCTGTTGTTTTGGATGGTATAATCAGTGTTGCCAGATATAGCTGACTTTTCCAGCCCAAAATGTGCAAAACCCGCACAAACGCACAAAAATAAAATAAAAAATCTGCTCAAAAAAATCTGACAATATTTTTTCTTCAGAAGAAAGTTTATTTGTATTATTTCGGCTGGAATAAAAGTAGTTTTTAATTTTCTAAAAACCATTTTAAAACCCATTTCAAAATTATTAGCCCTATTAAGCTACTTTTTTTTCAGATAGTCTACAGAACAATCCATCATTATACAATAACTTGCCTAACTACCCTAACCTGCCTAGTTAACCCAATTAACCTAGTTAAACCTTTAAACGTCACTTTAAGCTGTAAAGAATATCTAGTCAAATGTTATTTACTGACATCATGGCAAAGATAAAATAAATCCATTATTAGAAATGAGTTATTAAAACTATTGTTTAGAAATGTGTTGTAAAAAATCTTCCCTCCATTAAACAGAAATTGGTTGGAAAAAATAAACAAGGGGGGCTAATAATTTAAGAGGGCTAATAATACGGACTTCAACTGTTTACATATTAGATTAATATTTAATTTAATTTTAATTCATTTCATTTGAAATTAACCTGGTTACTTTAACTGTCATAATTTTAACCACACAGTAACCAACACCAGCAGTCACAGAACCACAACATAACTGGAACGCATCGAAACACTGCTCACTCTCACCCACACACTGCACTTAATGTTATGTAGATTACACTACCTATTAGAGTATGTTTTACTTTCGAAATGGGGTATAAATTCATCCCATTTGCCATTTTAAATTCTTTTGAAAATAATTAGGCACTGCTTGTCAATCGCACAATGCTTCTATGTTTGTTCCTGCTGTCAATTACGGGGAAAAAATGATTGATAAAACTGTCATGATAAACCTCTGTCAGTTTAACTGCGTGATGCGCGTACACAAGAAGGGGCGCCATATTTGTCAAATAACACACAACTTTCCTTCACCTACTCTTGCCTACTCTAAGATATCTCACACGGTTTGCGATGTGCACTGGTCACTGCTAACTGAATGGAGTAAGACCACACAGTTATGTTTCAAAAGTTTGGGAGTGAAGTTAGGCACCTGACGCAGGTAGGTCACGTGACCATGACAAAATGGCAGATGTAGTATACCCGAACTCCATTCATGCTTCTCACATTCATACCGTATTAAACTGTATAGAACGTACTTTTCTAACGGCCAAGTAGTACATTTAAATTCAAATGCAGTACCTACTGAGGAGTAGGCACCATGCAGTTTTCATTTTGGTAATAAAGAAAATTTTGGGCACAATTTATTTCTCCCAATAATCATGTTATAGCCTGATTCAATGATTGTCACAACTGATGTTTTGCTTAAAAAGTCCTCAGTTATGCTGCGTAATTAAGAATACTGTGCAATTATAGCAAATCATAATGCTAAAATGAACTCGTGTTATTCTGATACCTTTGCCAGAGATGTACGTTGTGGTGGAGCTGTTGTTGGTCACATTGGTACGCGGTGTGGAATGGCTGTATGTGGTTGAGGAAGAGCTGATGTTGCGGGAGAGGGAACCACCTCCTCCTCCAGGAAACAAGAAATTCTGTTCCCACTTTCCGTTCACGAACTGATCTGCAAAGACACGAGAGAAACGACAACATCATGAACTAGCATGCCGAAATCAGTTCTTCATAATTGATGTTAGCGCTCCAGATTAGCGCTTTGAACTGCGGTCCAGAGGACGGAATCAGCTCAACAGACCCAAACTGCAGAAAGCCTTGCAAATCAGACAAAAGACACAATATTTTTATGCAATTAGCTACATTAAGCAAGAGATTTGATGCAAATTAGCACTCTCAGACTTGTGATGCTAATTAGCACTCAAACGGGTTTGATAGCACAGCAGTGGGTTGATGTTGGGTCTAGATGGCATGCAGTCTGCCAGGGACAGGTCTTCACCTTGTGCCAGGGTCTGGGCAAGATTGTCGCTGACATCCGTGGATGGGCTCAGGCGGTGGGGGATGATGTCAGCAGGCAGTTTCCAGGACACTTTACGCAGATCCAGGTCCGAACCGACTAGCTTAACATGCTTCCAGCGTGAGCCTTCAGTTATCATGTGGGGGGAAGCAAGCAAGGCAGAGGATGTGTGGGCTGTCCATGCTCAGTTTAATTCACCCCAAATATGAACTGTCAATGCTTACTAATGAGCTAACGTCTCTGAAACCTGTATGACTTTATAAAACACATAAGGAGACATGGCTAAATGCTGATAGTCCAATAGTAATATAGTATTATTGTTTATATTCATTCATTCATTCCTTTTCTTTTGGTTTAGTCTCGGATTTATCAGAGGTCAGAATGACTTAACAACTATTCCAGCATATGTTTTATGCAGCATATGCCTTTCCAGCTGCAACCCAGTACTGGGAAACACCCATAAACTCTCACATTTACTTATACACTAAGGCCAATTTTATTTACCCAACTCACCTATACCGGACTGTGAGGGAAAACCAGAGAACCCGGAGGAAACCCACACGAACACAAAGAGAAAATGCAAACTCCACACAGAAATGCCAACTGGCCTAGCTGGGACTCGAACCTGTGACCTTCTTGCTGTGAGTCGAACGTTCTAACTACTGAGCCACCGTGCCGCTCTGTTTATATTCATGATATGTAAAAAAAACAAAAAAACAATACAAATAAGATGACATGACACACAATTCAGTGCCATTACTGTATATATGAGTGGTAAACTATTATTATCAATAATTATAACTATAAAATAACTATTTGTTTCATTCATACTCAACACCAGAGGGAACCGAATGGTGAGAAGGTAAGACTCATAGGTGTAATAGAAATTAAAAAATCCTTTAATAAATCCAGATAGAAATATGCAGGCATGTGCAGAGTGGAGGCTTTGGGTGCTTGAGCACCAGCCCTTTGTTTGCCTTGTAGAAAAAGTAGCCCCTCAAAAGGGTCTCTACATCCCCGCTCATCACTTCACATCACGATCACGCACCCCCAAACAACCCCACCCTTCACTTCGCAATCACCACCCTGGCCCTTCACTTCGAGCCTCTGCCTTTCTAAAGGTCTCTACACGGCATTGGAAATGTGTGACTAATGAAATCTAAAAAGAATCAACACATAGAATAGTATATAGTTTGTGTTCGTTCATGGGATAATTCCGAAAATAACCTAAAATTAACCTATAAAGATAGAAAAAAAGTCTTGGTTGTTTTAGGTGTGTAACCCTCATGCCTGAAATACTGATTGATGACATTTTTTTTATCCAGGAAGATATTCAGCATTTTATAACCTTGTATTTTATTCTGTTTCTTACACAAAACCAAGTGACTTTAAAAAACTTGAAACAGACCATGAGCCAAATTGACCATAATTGACCATATTCATTTATTTTCCTTCATCTTAGTCTCTTTAATTATTAGGGGACACCCCATACTCTCCACATGCGCACACATACACTACACCTATTTTAGTTCATCCATTTAACCTATACCGCATGTCATTGGACTGTGGGGGAAACCAGAGCCCCCAGAGGAAACCTATGCAAACATGGAAAGAACATGCAAACTTCACACAGATATGCCAACTGGCCCAGCCACAACTCGAACAAGTGAGCTTTTTGCTGTGAGGCCACAGTGCTAACCACTGCGCCACTGTGTCACCCCCACCATAACTATAAATGTCCATTCCAAATCAGTGTCAGAAAGTAATAAAGTCATACAGTTTGTGACAACCTGAAAGACATTAAATGATGACAGAAGTTTCATATTTGGGTGAACTATTTCTTTAAAAACCAGAGTCAGGCAAGAAGGAAGGAAGAAAAGGTAGGAAGCTGATGTCTTCTGAGCCCATCCGTGATGCTAGGGATACTTAGTTTAACTAGCAATGCAAAGTAAATAGCCTTCTTGCCAAATAAAACCCAAAGAATCCCAAGTCTCTCAAACTTTCATAAAGAGCCCAATAACCCAACCACAAAGCCAAAAAAGAAGAAAAAGACATTGATGACAATGGCAAAGGCAAGTGCTTGTGGAGTTTTAGGTGGAAAGGAGACTAGAAAGGACCTTTCAATTTCAACAGGAGCTGCATACAAATGATGTAAACACATCATTCTTATACGCCACACTGGGAAGCATATGACCATGTCTGACTGCTATTGACCAGTGGTTTCTACAGGTCAATGTAGCACAAAATGCTATGGAAATAGCATAAATGTTCAGGCATGCGATGCAGACAAAATCTTGTTTCGATGAGCAAAATCTTGTTTCAGTTCCCTAATGAAAAGACTAGCATTGTTAGGCATCCTGTTTTCCAAGAGATGCATGGCCATCCAGTTTACCCATGCTGTACACCATAGTGATGGTCTACCAGTTAAACAAGCATTAAACATCCTTGACCACCATGGAAATATAGCCTGGTCTTTTCAGCAGGGATGTTCAACAAATACAAAAGTTTGAGGTCGGTAAGATTGTTTTTTTTTTTCTTTTCTTATGGACACCAAGGTTGCATTTATGTGATTTATTGTGACAATTTATTACAATATACACTTTTTTCCTTTTAATTCATTACTCATTCAGTGATTAACATCAGAAGTTAATCTGTGCAAACTTTGTGCTCAAGAAACATCTATTTTTATCTTAAATTTTGAATCAAAGGGCTCTATTATACACGACGCAATAAGGCGGAAGACTTGTTTGGTGCAATTTGTAGCTATTTTCAGACCAGTGCAATCTTAATTTTCACGTTTTGCACCCTGTTGTTTAAATAGCAAATTCCTTTGCACCATTTTGTGGACTCATAGGCGTGCTGGTCTAAAAAAGGGGTGTGCTAAAGTGCATTGTTGGTGCGTTGCTATTATTAAGAATTTGTATAATGTTATTTTGCATTTGCATAATGTTATTATTAGTAGCAGTATTATTTCTTATATGCATTTTTATATTTGTTTTAATAAAAACAAGTTTAGATTTGTCCACCTTTCGGGTTTTGGAGACGCATCACCATATAGGGCATAAGAATAGGACGTGTGCTTGAATACAACACAGTTTTGGACCACACTGTTATTATTGCTCAAAATCTTTGTGCTTAACAAATGAAATTAAATATGTAGGCTAATGGATGTCTTTAGTGGAGTGTGTACAACACCGTTTCCTTATCCACAAAAGTAAAGGAGTAAGTGTAAAAGTAAAGAGAAAGAGAAAGTAAAGAGGCCGAATGGATGAGGCTCATTCTTTATCCTAGCGATGCAGATGGTCTGTTTAACTGTTTTCTCGCTATTGAAGCATTCAGTTTTTTCACTTACAAAGTCCGCCATGTAAATAGCAAATGCACCATGGTGTGACGCAACCGACTCTTAAAGGGAATGGGAGATGAGACTCTGATTGGTTTAACGCACATTATGCGCAAAACACACCCAAAACTCATTAAGAGAATAAGCACAAGCCTGTTAGACCATGCGCCAGAGGTATTGTTCCGTCCTTAAAATAGCAAAAGTGGATTCGGACAAGCCCTTAATGCTTTTGTGCCATGTGCTTTAGACTTTGCGCCTATAATGTTAAAATAGAGCCCAATGTCTTTACTGTCACTGTTGTTGGTTTAATGCACATAATTTAAAACATCCATGCAGAACAAAAATGGTTATTTCTGTCAAACTGACCCCAAAGTTTTGACAACGTCACCAGATGACAATTGACACCCACCATCAGACAGATCTGTGACGCTAGGCCTCAGGCTGCTCGTTGGGGATCGCAGGACTTCATTACTGTACATCAGATAGCTGTCGTACTCTTCGCCAGCTTCTGCATCCACGATGGGAATGTCGGGAATGATGGGAACTGTAGAGTTGATGTAAACCAAAACAAACAGCACAATCAATCACAGTCAGTACAAAAGTGGCAGCTAAAATCAAAGCAGGGTTCCCACGCTTTCATGAACAGCAAATTCAAGGACGTCTTAAAGCACCATTAATTTTAAATCAAGCACTTTTGTAATTCATAACTCTGCATATGTAGCACCATGAAAGTCCTTACTGTACTTAACATTTCACTTACTAGACTGGGTACATAAGTCTGAAGATGCTCTGTGTAGATATTAAACAAGAGTTTTATAACCCAGTTTCTCTGATTAATTTACTTGACCAGAAAATTCCCAAATTCCCTACAAGGTCAAATAAAACCCATTTATTATTATTAATAATTATTATTATATTAGAGCTGTCAAATCATGGTCACAGATCAGAGGATCTCTTAAGTACAACCAGTACTTGCCTATTTCATCCACACTGACCAGTAATACAAATTTTTACCATATTTATATGGGCTCTCAATTTGGTAGCTGGATAAATATGGGAATATAAAGGATATATGATCTCTTCCATAAGGATATTTTTATGTCATTTGAGGAGTTACATTTCAAGCATAATATCCCTAAAAATGATTTCTTTAAATATCTGTAGATAAGACATTTCATTCATACTAGACACAGCAGTCTTACCTTAAATAGCTCTGATTTCTTTTTACATAAATTCTTTCTTAAAAATGCTGAAGTTAAGCACTTTATTTCCAAATTTTACTCCATTATAAACCAGTATAAAGCAGACAATCTGATTTCATTGCAGAAGACATGGAGTTAGAACTTAAAATGTGACATTGATGAAAATGTGTGGGATAATATTATCAGACTCCCTTGAATATTTCAGTCTGCAACAGATTTAAAGAAATGCAACTTAATATTGTACTTACATATCCCCAAATAAATATAGTAAAATAAATAACACTGTTTCACCTCAATGTCTAAAATGCAATCATAGCATTGGCTCGTTCTTTCTTTGTCTTTGGGAATGTTCTTTGATTGCTGATTTTTTAAATGATGTTTGTGACAAACTGTCCATAATACATAAACAGTAGGTTACAGCCTCCCTATTAATGTGCTTACTAGGTGTTCTGAAAAATACTGTATACAGTTTATGTTCTACTCATTGCTGTGTATAAAACTCATTTTGAAGAATTCAATCAAAATAAATAAAATAAACAATAAAATAACATTTTTCTTACACTTAGTATTAAAATGTCAGAAGAAAGAACTTTAGCAAAATTGTTGAAATCAATACTGGTGATTTTCAAATGCATTTTCTGAAATATTGATAAAATGTGCATTATTTGTCAGTGTTATTTCTTTTTTTGACAATTGGAAGAATTGTTGAAATCAAACCATAAACAAATGTAGTTTTAAATTTAAGTCAAGCCCTTTCAAACCCCTGTGTTTGTTTTTTAGTACTTTCCAGGCCTCGAATCCATATGTCTTAAATTCATTCTCTTTATTCTCCATTTCCACCTGGGGATAATCTTCACGAGGCCCTCAGACTATGCAAAGTCACTGATTGGATCCAAGACCAGCGACGAGATGATCCCAAGGTTTCCATATCCTGGACCAGGCCGTAACCTGAGCAGCTGCTGTGGTGGTCATGGAGGAGTGGAGAGCATCAGACTAATTCCAGTGACGCTTCAGGGACAGAGGAGTCTTCGCTGAGGCCAGCTTCCAGCCTCCGCCACTGAGTCTGCAGCTCTGCATAAGACGTTTGGCCAGCGGTGAAATTAAATTGATCGTGCCAAACTGAGTATGGTTTCTCTCAAGGTTTTTTTTTTCTTCACTTTTGCCAATCGGTAAAGTTTTTTTCCTTCTTCGCTGTGGCCTCTAGCTTGCATGGTTTGGAATCGGTAAACCACACTGAACTGAGCTAAACTGAATTGAACTGAACACTAAAAAAACTGAACTACACTGGTCCAATATATCATGACCATTAATGTGAAGCTGCTTTGACACAATCTACAATGTAAAAGCGCTATACAAACAAAGGTGTACTGAATTAAATATCTGAAATTCAAGTACTTTTAAGTACTTTCAAGAAGTGTGGGAACCCTGTCAGTGTCACCCCATTTTTGTGAGACGCTTACTTGACATGGGTCTGGTAGGCTGTGATGCCAGGTTGATTGTGGCTTCTCTGTATGGGCCCCAGCCCACCTTATTGCTGGCACGCACTTTATAACAGTAGGTCTGAGAAGGTTGCAGGTTCTCAATGAGCAACATGCGCTTTTTAGGGTTGTCAATCATCACCTTCTTAGGAGGTCCTGTAGGCTCTGAACAAAAAAAAAAAAATAGACATATACAATCAGAGAAGCTTTCACTCCCAAAACTGATGCACAGAATATATATTTTAAGGCTCTTACTCTTGTCCTCGTTAATGGGCATGTAGATGACCTCATAGCCAGTGATGATACCATTGGCTTCTGCTGGCTCCGCCCAACTAACCTGAGTAACAGTAGGGCTGATGACGTTGAAAGCCAGACGACCAGGTTCACCAGGTACTGGAAGGTTAAAACAATATACAGTGGGTGACACTTTAAAATGAGCATTAAAGGGTAAGTTTACCCAACAGTGAAAATTCTGTTATTTATTACTCTCCCTCATGTTGTTTCAAACCATTTGTTTATTTTCAGAATACATATTAAGATATTTTAGATTAAATTTGAGAGCTCTCTTTTATCCTTCAGAGAGAGAAAAGCTCCTGACTCATTCAAAGTCCAGAAAAATAACCAAAAACCATATTCAGAGACCATATGGCTTTTTTGGGGCCATTGCTGTCTATGGAGGATCAGTGAACCCTCAGATTTCCTCCAAAATATCTTAATTTGTGTTTTGAAGATGAACGAAGGTCCCGGAAGGTAACCAATTAAAATCTAAAAAAACTCAAACAATGCCTTACTATCCTCCAGGGTTTGGCATTGGATGATATCACTGTAATTGCCATCTCCAAGTGCATTGTAGCCACAAACACGCATCTCGTAATCACAGTATGGATCGAGATTTGTCAGCTCGGCTTGAGGCGTCTTCACATCCATAAATTTAGCTTTATCTTCGGGGTCTCCATAAATCCAGTACTTCACCTGCAATAACAGCAATAGCAGCTCAAATGGCATGGTAAACATCTTTCAACTGCCTATTTAAGTAAGCTAATGTTTATCTGAAAACTATTATAATAAAACACTGCAATAATTATAATTCATAAGCAAACCCTTGAAGAAAAATCACACAAACTTCAATTATGGAATCATAGCTGTTCTGTAGCATTGTGCCGCCAGTGTAACGCCATGTTAGTAGGTTTACTGCCCAGTGAAAATGTGTATGTTAAATGTGATGTACTGTACTGTAAGTAGCTATAGATAAAAGTGGCTACCAAATGATTGAATGAATGAATGATTGAATGAATGAATGAATGAAATCACACATGAAATCACACATTTTTTTTCATATAAAAAAAGTTATAGATTAAAAAGCTTGTCATTTATGTGTGAGTTTAACATATTGAACATAAGACGCTCCTGTGGTGTTTCTAAAAAGAAAAATGGCTAAAAAAAACAGCCCAATATCAAGCTAACCTGTCATTTCATGTCACATACACTGTTATTCAAAAGTTTGTGGTCAGTGATGTTATACAGAACAAAAAATGTCCTATTATTTAGAAAAGACACAGTAATGATACTGGTTATATTGGTCATAAAGTAAACACTTAGGAACTGCTTAAAGGCTTCACACATTTCACACTCTTCATTTACAGTTTGTTCATTTACGGATACCGTTGTTTATTTTTTGATAAATAAATTCTACAGATGTACACAATAAATAAATAAATAAATAAATAAGTCAAAAAAGGATCTATATATGCAGTAGATATTATTTGACAAGATCTACCTTGTAACCATTGGCATTTTGGCTGGGTTTCCAGTTCAGGCGGATGTTTTTAGGGCCGGTAGCAACGGCTTTAATGTTGGCTGGAGAATAGAGGCGTCCTCCGGGGGATGTGGCTGTTTGAGTAACATATTCCATCTTCTGGAAATCCTGATTTTTACCATCCCCTGAAATGTTCAAATGCAAATAATAATTATCATTTCTAGTATCTGCTGATTATCTACCTTTTTCCTACTGCCAAAATGTTTAAGTAACTTATATTAAACTGTAAACAATCTGCAATGTTTTAAAAAAAGGGTGACGACAAGTTTGTTATAACTTTCCTCAAAGTTTATCAATTTGAAAATTTTAAAAAATAATTTATTAGAATAAACAAAATGACTTTTAGCAGACCACACACAACCCCAAAAAACTCACGAATCTTCGCATGGCAATTTGGACTATTACTTTACTGTATGGAATATAAAGAGGACAATTTGTAGGAATAAAACAGTGAACTCAAAAGAGTTTCGGCCTTAGATATGCATGTAATGCTAATGTCTTGATAAAATAACCAAGCATAAATAATTTTAAGATGGATAAAAATGAAGCATAAAGCCAGATGCATTGCTCGTTCTCATTTTTCAATATGAATATGGATTATTTTAGCAGAACTTTCCTAAACTGAAAGTGCAACCCATAATTTGAAGGTGGATAGGAGCGTCAGTTACCCAATAAAACATGAACTAAAGTAAGAAAAAAAGGTTTTGCATTTGCATTGCACTTTTCTTTCCACCTCACCTCGACCGTCGGTGACGATCACCTCCGTGGTCTTCCTCTTTCCGATAATTGCATTGTTGCTTGGGTCTAATAGTTCCAGGTTAAATTTCTCAGGTATGATGGGAGATGGATGTGTACGAGGATTGATGAGGATATTTTTTTCAGCTTCACCGGGTGCAAATTTGAGAGGGCTGGAGATGTCGAAGCGCGAGGCCTTGTTGGTGCGCCAGTGCACAGTGGCCGGAGTCTCCCGGTTTCCAGTGCGTTCCACCGGGATGGTGTAGAGCGAGTCGGTGGTACTGAAAGTTTGAGTACTCTTCTTAAACGCCATAACACTGGATTCTGTGAGGAGACACGAGCTTGTTTAGATTTAGTTTAAAGAGCCTCTATTATGGGTTTTTAAAAAATGACCTTCTATGCAGTGTGTTACACAGCACTAAGTGAATGAAAACATCCAGCTGAGGTTTAAATCTAGTGCAGCATGTTTAAAACGACTGATTCATCTCAGAGTCAAATAAATGAATCATATTGGGTTTGGATCTTTTGCTTGAACGCATCGACGTCGACAGTTCATCACAAAATATGTGATCGCGTCTATCCCTTCACACACTAGAGGAGCGCGGGGGATCACAGGACTGATCATGATGAGAAGATGACAATCACTGACAGATGGAGATTCAGCTGTCGGGAATAAAGGGTTAAAGTTCACTTTTACAACAACACCACAATATAGCCAACCAAGTGCTGTGTTTGTTCCTGCCATTTTTCAGATTTTTGATACAGTAACCTATGCTGCAATGTGGGATTTGTCCGCCGTTTTCTATTGAAGGAGCAGCAGAGACTATTATGTATGAGACTTTGTCAGCACTGATTTAGTTCATATGGACTAGTTTTTTTTTTCCTCAGGATCATAACATGTAAGTGTAATTAAAATTGTTGCCTCGTTTTGTTTAATAGTGTGTTGTAAATAGTAATTGCTCCACGCGGCTTGTAAGGTATCTCTCAGGTTGAGTCTGTATGGGCGATTCACATATAGCGTCCAAAACTATGTTGAAAACGTGATGTGTGCTTCCTTTACTGATTTAAAAGTTTTTTTGAACTCCGAAATAGTTCTAAAATAGTTCAACTTTTGCCACTCTGTGGATTAATACTGAATGTGTGTCGTTGTTATTACTTGGGGTTAGGGCTAAATGTCGAGTAATATGCTGGTGTTTAACTGCATTGCTTTATTGGGCTCTCACATACTCTCTGCTACGTAGCTGTGGTGGTCATTTCTTCTCACTGTCTCACGCTGAACCCAGCCGACCAATCCCAACAGACTGGGTTATCGGACCAATCAGCGCAGATTAGCCACACGCAATTGAGTGGTTTGGAAACAAATGAATCGCTGAACGAATCTTGGAGTCTTTGGGATAATTAGGTAAAAATAAATGCATATTGGAAAACAATGAAAGTGTTTTTTGACCTTGCATGCATATCAGCCTGTTGTTGGAGACCCCCAAAACCAAAATATGACCTTTTATAATGCAAAATAGGGGCTCTTTAAAGGAATAACAACAAACTGTCCTTCAAGATATTGAAGCAAAATTATATGGATGTTACATTTGGAGTACAAAAAATCAAAACATAAATTAACATAGAAAGTATATGTTAACATTATATTGAAACATCTGTTTATATTTTCCAAAACAACTAACCACAGAGTTATCGAACGCAAAAAAATATCAACCTGTAATTATTTTTTACCTTTCAAATGAGGAAAATAGTCATGCTTTATTGATGTGAGCAAAAAAGTTAGCGAGTTTAAAGTATACAACATACTTTGTAGAAATTCTGTGAGTTAAATCGCACAACCCAAAAGAAATAATGCTATTTAAAAGGGTAAGAGTCGGCTCTCTATAGAGCAAAATTGATTGATTTTATTTTAGGTGACATCTTTGCATTTATGAGGAAAAAGCTTCCTTATAGATGTGACACCTCTCCGTTACGGATGTGATAGATGTGAAATTGCCACTGGTGTGACTTTGGTAAATCAAATATAATTGTTAGAAATCATTGTCAGACATTTTTCAGTATTTTTGAAGTACTATAAAATACTTGCTTACACAAAAAATGTAGAAAGAATTTCGCTATTTTGGTGAAACCTTCATTTTTTCATGGCAAGGGTGACATTTGCATGGAATTGCTCATATGTACCTGGTTTGTCAGCGATGGTGATAACAGTGCGTGGGTAACGGCCTAGTTTAGCACTTTGTCGTGGGTTGGTCAAATCCATGACAAACTGTTTGACCTGCTTGTCCTCCAGCAGGCCATCTTGCTCTCCAAGTTCCAGAAGTTTCACTGGGACAATCTTCTCTGTTTCACCTGCTCCATAGCTCAAGTCTCCATCTACCGAAATATAGTCCTGTACAGGAGAGAATGCAAAAAGTAGTATAAAAAAATACTGCAATCAAACAATGACAACTGAATGTTCCCATTACCCATTACTAATAAAATAATTAAAACATATTTTAAGAGCCATAATTATTTATAAACAATGGTACAACATTGCATTTTCAATATGTATGGAGCACATAACTATGAAGTTACATCAACATCAGTGAACTTCTATAAAATATATTAGAATATATAATATATATATATATATTAAATAAATATATTTATTTAATTTATATATTTATTTATTTATTTATTTTATTTATTTATTTTTTTTGGAAAATTAAAATCTAAAAATATATGTATGAAAAATTTTTATGCTGTATATGCACGTTTATTGACAAACTATTTAAAATAATATTTAAGAGTAATATTTGTTTTGTTATAAATAATCAGGTATGTTTCATAAATTTACAGCACATTTGTGAATAATGAAGTAATTATTATTAGTGAATAATAATTATTTAAATTCAATTAGTTGCAAATGTTTATAGACACTCATATATTCCAATGCATTTTTAATCAAAGCTGATCAAAATATCCATGATTATATCGCATGGCTTGAAGGCATCAGGAGGGCTAATTGAATGAAATACAATCACTACAAACCATTATGAAGAAAGCTGGTGTATTTTACCTTCTTGTCTTTAGCAGTGAGGTCTGCTGTGCTGTATGTGACTTGTGCCCGTCCATCCTCTATGATCTGACGTTTGATCGGGATGTTGGCCACTCCATCTTGACGGCTGTAGGTATATGACGGCTCCAGGAAGGTAAAGACACTCGAAGCTACAAGAGAACAAACAAACCAGAACAAAACTGATGATACAACACACATTCTCATATTGATACTAAATCTCACTAACCAAATTCACCTTTTTAATCTAATTCAAAATATATTCCAGTATTTTAATCTTCCAATATTCTGTATCTTAAGAAAATTTCTGTTGCTCTAAATGGATAGTTCAACTAAAAACATAATTAAATAAAATTAAATTAAATTTTCAATTTAAATGGATTTTTGAGTGAACTATCCCTTTTAAGATGCATAGATTTGGAAAGTTGGCTTTGCACTTTTTTCTTCCTACCCTGTTCCTTAAGCACTGTAATGTTGACATGATCTTTTCCAATCTTTGCGATTCCGACTGGAACATCCACAGCTTGCACAAGCAGCTCCTTCTTTTCATCGTCCTCATCTTTAATGAAGAGAGGAACCCGAACATCCACTGATTCCACGTTCTCCGGAAACTCCACTGCGCCTGCTGCTTCTACAAGACAAGAAAGAAAAGACACAAATGTTACAACAGGCAAGAAATTACTGCAGCAGAGATTTTTTCAAATAAATTTGTTAAGAGGAAAATAAAAAAAAAATTATTTCCAGCCTTTATTTCCAGTGGTCATACTTTATTTTGATGGTCTGTTTGTTAAATTGAAGTTACGTTGCAACTAATTCTCATTAAATTATAAGTAGACTGTTAAGTTGGGGTTAGGGTTGGGGTTAGGGTTAGTGTAAGTTGATATGTACTTGCTAAGTTTCTTATAGTCAGTTAAAGGTTTGTTTAGCAGCAGTATCAACAGATATTAAGCAGACAGTCTAATACCCAAATGGACCATCAACGTAAAGTGTTTCCTTATTTTTTTGTTGAACACAAAAAAGATTTTAAAGAAAGTTGTAAACAAATAGCAATTAACTTATTAATGAAGGAAAATATGATCAAGTTCAATGGCTACCATTTTTGAACATTCTTATAAATGTCTTTTTGTGTTCAAAAGGAGAAAGACAATCAAACAGCTTTGAAACAAGTGGAGGATGAGAAAATGATGACAGAGGTTTCATTTTTAGGTGAATTATCACTTTTAAGGCTTCTGTGTTGTGTGGAATCTGTACCTTTATCAGAAGCCACAGTGTAGTAGCCTGGAATCACCTTCAGGTCCCGGAAGTTTCCAGACTGAACCTGTTTATCTGTCAGTTTTACAATATCTGGGTAACTGGAGCGAGGGGCAGATAAAACTGTGTCCACAATTGTGTTGTTCTGTCTGTGAATTAAAAAAAAAATTACTCTTTCTCTTTTTGAGTTTAGAAATGTGTATTCCTTTGTCCTGTAAAGAAAGCTTCATTTTGCATTTAACTCATTTGACATTAGGAGGAAAGACTGAAATTGGTATGTTATGCTAAAACAGTTTTGGTCCCTTGTATACTTTTTTGGAATCAGTGTGGTGGAATACATTATACATTTTTTTCTGGATTCTTTAATATATACAGGGTTCATATTCAGATTTACTACTAAAATTTCATAACTTTTCCAGGACTGTCATGTAAATTTTCTTGTCCTAATGTTTCATGTAATGTCTAGATATACTTAGTAAATAATAAGAAAAACAATGCACATTGAAATTTATTACAGCACATCATAAAACACGCAATAGTATATTTCAAAAGTTCACACTTAGCTGATGGTTTATCATAAGCTTGTTTGGCATGCTGTCCCGGGAGAGAGTCCTGAGCTCAAGGGATCCTCGAGATCAGGGCTCCCTCCCATTCGCCGAGCAAGAGGGGAGATTGAGCTCAGGTACTGTAGATCTCAAAAACTCCCTGGCTGAAATTAAGGTGAACTACTTTGAAAAGGAATGTTGTTATGTATGATGCATATCTTTTACAGTATAGTTCATTCATGTTTTCCCAACACAAATTGATTAAGTTAACTTAACACTTTTAAGTTATGTGTATTGAACATAAAAAAATAAGTTGTCCCAATGAAATCTGAAGAATTGTGTTGTTTCAGCTCATTTTAAATAAGCAGGAATGAGCAAAAAAACAATGATTATAAGTGTTGGACAGTGGGAGGAAATCAGTAAACTAAGGGAAAACCCACACGGAAACGGGGAGAACATGTAAACTTTGCATAGAAACAACAATCGGCCCTCCGAGGACCAGAGCCAGTCGTGTTTTTGCTGTGGGGCAACAGTGCTAATCACTGGACCACCGTGCCACCCAATCTATGAGAAAAAGGAGAAGAGGACGAATGTGGGTTTCTTCCAGGCGAAAGTAAGCGTGGAATGAAGACATCTGATTAGCTAAAGTGGGACCGGCTGTGGTCAATCATAAGCATGTGATCCTCTCGAAATGTATAAATAAACTTCACTTAGTTTTTGTTAATTTTTATATCTGTTTAAAATAGATTTAGATAATGCTTACACAGCACTAATAATGTAGAAGCATTGTTAAACTAATCTCCATGACTCCTTCAAAACTTTGTGGGTTCTGTTCTGTTATTCAAGAACTTGACAAATTTACTTTTCCAGACTTTTCCAGGTTTTCCATGACCGTATGAACTTTGTATAAAGAAAACTAACTTACTATATATCTAACTAACAAGATATTTTTAATGTTTTATTATAAAAATGTATTTGGTGTCTCTTTTAATATAAATTGCAATCTAATTTGTTTTGTTTAAATGTATCCTTGCTTAATAAGCATTGCTTACTGATCACAACTTTTTTAATATTCACCATAATAAGCTCAGGCAAACAAAGACAGCCGTTTAGTCCTAATTTACATACTTATGCACTATTATATGTCTGAATAGTGCATAAGTATATAAATTATAAAGAAAATTTATCTAAAGAAAAAAAGCTTCCATGGAAAAAGCGTGGAATGTTGAACACTTCGTGGACACAACTGGCACAGCTTTAATGACACAGTGGAGGGTTCAGGGCTTTCAGACTCTGAAGATGAATGAGAAAATTATCTGGAAAATGTATACACTAGACAAGGGGTCACCAACCTTTATGAAACTGAGAGCTACTTCTTGGGTACCGATCAATGTGGAGGGCTACCAGTTTGATAAACACTTCTCAAATAACAAATTTGCTCAATTTACTTTTAATTATACTTTATGTTTTTGGAAATAATTAATGATATTCATCCATGTGAAGACACCAATCATGTTAATGATTCTCACTAAAGTTATCAACAATGATTTAACAGGGTAGGAAATACCCTGTATTTAATGTATCAATGTGCAACACTTTATTTGTATATATCTCTGCAAATATTTACATTTTTTAAATGATTACTTCTATATTAGATGAAGCTTACTGGTAAGTGGCGCTATGGTGAGCTATTTTTAGAACAGGCCTGCGGGCAACACATTTGATCATCGCAGGCTACCTAGTGCCCGCGGGCACAATGTTGGTGACCCCTGCACTAGACAGTTGACTGCACAAGTACTGAGTGTATAAATGCATAGTTCATCATTTGGGAAACAACTAAATTATTTGATCAACGCTAGCTCAATTGTAGCTACTGTACCTCTTTCCAGAATTTCTTTGTGTCCTGAGGGAAAAGAAAAAATGGTACATTCAGACACGCATCAAAATCTGAGACTCATCCAATGATTAAGAAACATTTGCCCACAAGGCACAGCCACGCCAAAGCTAATGAGTCACACCTGAACAGAGTCTTCTGCACTGGTTGTGCGCCCGGGATCTGCAGGAACACGTCATTGAGCTGTTCGGGAAGAAACAACAGACATCAGCAGACGGGCATGACGGTTCATGTGTGAAAATCGGTTTCTTTTTTTGAGTGAAGCATCACATATATATGAGCACTCACGTTGTCCTCTACTTCTCGTCTGAGCATGTCTGTGTCCCGAGCGTCAGGGTTAGAAAGAACTTCTGAAAACTGGCGGTTCAGACGAAGAGAAACAGGATACTGGACTAGGAGGAAAAATACAGAGGGATTAATGGATATGTATATCATTTATGAACTTTTATTTGACTCTGGCTTTGAAACGACAAAGTATATGGTAATTGTTAGCATGATGTTAGGTTAACGGTTGCTTTCATGCAAATATACAAACTTTTTAAAGGTATTTCTATACTAACTACATGGAGCAAAAACACTGTAAAGTGTTACCAGTATTTGTTTAATAATAATATTAATAATAATAATAAAAACAATATAAAAAACAATGTTTAGACTCACTGGTCTCTTTGGGGTTGGGTCTGATTTGGTTCTGGGGGTGATTCGTTCCTCGATGAACATTGTCTGCCACTTTCCAGCGCACAACGTCTGTGCTCTTGAGCGGGCCGCTGCGCACCATTGGGGTGTCCAAATAATCATTTTGCAGAAAAGACTGACGTAGCAGGTACTGGTTTTCTTTAAAGCCCACCATACGACCTGTCCATTACATATTAAGGACAATTAATTATGTGTGTTTCCACCAAAATATAGATAACGTAACTTAAAGTACGTATGAAAGCATATAACTACCTCTTGCACAGCACGGGAGAAGAGCAAGACAGGACTGTTGGAGACAGACATCAATTATAAATAGATCTATGGTGAAATATTGTGTTCTCCTGACAAAAATAGTTTCTCAAAAACAAAATATTTGCGTTTTCTCATACAAGTTATGTGACCTCAAGAAACTTTGCAATTACTTATCTAACATTTGCCTTTACTGTATTTTTACAGTATTGCAATACACCAAAAAAAAAAAGTGCATTGTCTAGCAAAACATTTCATGCAACAATGCTTGTGAGCTTTGTGTGTCCCGGACAAGCTTCTATATATATATATATATATATATATATACATACAGTTGAAGTCAGAATTATTAGCCCCGCTGTTTATTTTTTCCCTCAATTTCTGTTTAATGGAGAGAAGATTCATCAACACATTTCTAAACATAATAGTTTTAATAACTCATCTCTAATAACTAATTTATTTTATCTTTGCCATGATGACAGTAAATAATATTTTACTAGATATTTTAAGACACTTCTATACAGCTTAAAGTGACATTTAAAGGCTTAACTAGGTTAATTAGGTAGTTATTGTATAACAATGGCTTGTTCTGCAGACTATAGACAAAAAATAGCTTAAAGGGGCTAATAATTTTGACCTTAAAATGGCTTTTAAAAAATTAAAAACTGATTTTCTTATAGCCAAAACTTTCTTAAACTAAATATATATATATATATATATATATATATATATATATATATATATATATATATATATATATATATATATATATATATATATATATATAGTTTAATTCAATAATATAAGCCCACTCTTTTTAAAATATTTCCCAAATTATGTTTAACAGAGCAAGGAAATTTTCACAGAATGTAGAAATAAGTAATGTATATAAAGTATATATATTTATATAAACTTATATAAAAACAAAAATATTTGGTATGTATTTAGATTAGATGTGTGTGTGTGTGTGTGTGTGTGTGTGTGTGTGTGTGTGTGTGTGTGTGTGTGTGTGTGTGTGTGTGTGTCTTCACAAAAAAACAATACAATCTGTATTAATATGCATGTGTGAGCATCTACCTGGCAGCAGGCGCAGTATTTCCAGCAACAGAGCAAAAGCAAACCAAGTAACAGCATCAGAAACATAATGAGAGGAATGAGCCACAGGAAACCTGCAGGTGGACAATCTGGCACACAAAAACTACTCAGTTAGATAACGTAGTGCACATAACTACATTGGGGCAATTAAAACTGCAGTTATATTATAATTTTAGTAATTAAATAATGATATTTATGTACAGTTCAGTTATTTGAAATATTTACTTAATTTGTTATAAAGCCTGAAATCTAATCTTTTCCAGCCTTTGAAATGTTTTTGTAGCCTTCTCCTAACCAGTGCCTTTCTATAACATCATCCCAAAGGTCTTTTGAAAGCAGGGTGTAAAGGTATAGATTTTCACAGGGTATGATGATTCTCTATAGGCACTGGATGAGAATCTGTTTAAAATTTACCAACACGCCTACCAAACCACATAAATCTTAGTTTTATCATAATAAAAGTACAGTTATTATTCATATATATCTCACCTTTCTTTTTCTTCACTAGGACGCGGTGTTCTTTGTCTGTGATGTTCGATGGATAATTCACATTATAGTGATATGTGCAGTCATCATCTTCATCACGGAAACTGCATGTCTCGATTACATTTTTATCTGTGAACAATTCATTGTTTCATCATCAACTCATAAACAAAGTCTAGCTACTGTATGGTGTCATATATTAAAGAGAGATCTGACGATTTACCTTCTTCAAGCTCATCCACCCTGACAATTTTGAAGGGACACTCATCGCATTTCCGTCCTTTCCTTTCACCGGTGCTCCAGGCCTGGCACTGGACGCAGCTCCTCTTGGCTTCACACATACCCACTTGTTGCTGCAGGACAGACAGTTGGAATGAGGACTTTTTTAAACGGGTTGCATTATGCTTTCAACTTCCTTAAGAGTAAGATGAAAAATCTGCGTAAGATTTTCTGTTTCAGTAAACACATGCTAACTCAATTGTTTTGCTTTAATATGGCAATGTACACGTCATGATATTGTAGACGTAAATAAATCCTGCCAATGAGTTGGGGCATGATTGAGTTGTGTTAGTAGTGTGTTGTTTTCATGTCCAAGAGAGGTTATTTCACAGATCTAATATACTGATACACACGTGATTTCTTCTCCAACTGTTTACATTCACAAGCATGCCTCACATTACCGTAGGTGAATCTCTGTTTTCCCCCTCAACCATTTCATGTATTTGATGTGAAAGAAAAAGTAGTGTAATATTCACTCGACTCATCATCTGACAACCGCCGTGCATTGATCCAATAAGTTAAAATACTCCCTGATATTAACATAGTAGCTGTGTGGCTTAGGCAAGTGCAAGAATTCAACAGAAACTATTTTTAATGCTCATTTATAAATACAGAAATGACCCCTAGAATTAAAAGCATTGAAATTGATGCACATTCAATTAAAATGGACCTGAAATAAGGACAAAGAAGTGTAGGGTGGTGGATAATTTCATCCTTCGGGAACCAACTGGATTGTTGGAAGATGGCCGTTGCTAACAAAATGAAGAAGGGTTGAACAAAAGCAGGACAGAAATAAGACACACCCTGATAGCCCTGCCCTAAAGGCATTCATGTGACCAGAAGTAAAGACGTTTTGAGAGTGGAGGGAAGGTTATGGGGATTGATTAAAGATTATGAGGGCTTAAAAAGTACATGTCTAGTAAAAAGGGGCGTGACAGGACGACTTTAAAATGTAAAGCAAAACAGACAGTTGTACCTGAAAGTTGGCTTCGCAGGTAGGACTCAGTGGAAGTCCTGAGTGTTCACACTCACAGCGGCCACATTTACACACACCACGGTCATTACAGATGCCCTGCAAAAGAGAAGAGCAAATTTATTATGTACTCTACAGACCAGTTTTACACGTTTTTACAATGTGTTTGGTTATATTTTTATGTTTTGCACAAAAACATTTAGTATGCATACATTTAGAAAAAATAACTGCCTACTCTAAACCCTGAACATCATTGAACATATTGTACTAACACATTTGTCAAGAGCTAAATCAGTTCTCTCAGACTACTGTTTCTCAACTAGAGGATCACAACCCAAAAGGAGGTCACAGAAGACTTTTGAGTGGGTTGCGAAATGAGTGGCTTTAAGTGGCAATTCATGTGCATCAATAAAAATCCACGTTCACCCCAAAATGAAATCTCTACAATCACATTTTTTCAACCTCTGGGTGTTCAAAACCCTTTAATTTTTTTATTCCGTTAAACACAAACTTCTTCTTCTACTATAGAAGTCAATGGGTACCATCAATCAGCATTTTTCAAAACATCTTCTTTTGTTTTCTAGAGAAGAAAGCAATTCATAGAGGTTTAAAACCACATGAAGGAGAGTAAATGGAAGTACATTTTATTTTAGGGTAAACTATCCCTTTAAGTATAGTGGGGTGGTGCTGGTGTTCATTTTTGGGTCAAATTTTCAATGGCCAAGCCAGTAGAGAACCACTGCCCTGTGACAGACATGCTTTAGCTAAACTAAAGGTTTAATAAAAACAGAGTGTTTATATATATATATTTTTTCAATTTACCCCTTTGCTATCCCGGCATGAGTCATTGCTGGTGGGACATTCACAGGCCTCTCCACTCCATCCCGGAGAACAAACACATCTGCCCATGCTGCAGCTTCCACGCTCTGTTATTGCAAACAAAAGCAATATCAACCAGTTAAAGCACTCCATACAACATTAATTCTGAAATTCCTGTCTGGAATTCATCCCACATGCAAATCCTGGGATATATTAAATCCAAAAATCTTTTTACAAACCATTACAGAGAAATCCACCAAATCTCTGGCACTGAGATTTGTCAAACTGGCAGTAGGGCCCTTCAAACTGGTTGGGGTTATAACACACACAGGTCCCACACATGCAGTCTCCTCTGCCTGAGCACGGCTCTGTCTTTCCTCGTTCTATGCACATGACAGAGTCTGTGGAGGCGCCCGCTGAACAGTTACACAAAGGGCCGAGCCTGTAAGGGGCAGGGCATAGATAAAATGAGGATTAAAATAATCTTTTCAACTATAAATGGAAGATTACTGAGGTGTGTTTACTATTTCAGTCTTTCTACATCAAAATATCTTGTTTAAAGGTATAGATCATGCAAAAATTTAGTTGTACTCATCCCCAAGTGTTTGCAGACCTTTCTGAGTTTTTCTTCTGTTAAATAAAAAAGAAGATATTTTGAAGAATGCTGAAAAATGTTACAATTGTCTTCATTTGTCGGAAAGCAAATACTATCAAAGTCAATAGTTAAAGGTTTTCAACATTCTTCAAAATATCTTCTTTTTGTGTTAGACAGAAGAAAGAAACTCATAAAGGTTTGAAACAAGTGAAGAGTGAGAAAATGATGACAGATTTGTCATGTTTGGGTGAACTATCCCTTTAATCTAATGCTTTTGATCAAACTGTTTCTGAATTTTATTTTTAAATGTGATATGTACACAAATATAATATATTTGTGTTTACTTCACTCAACAATGTAATTTTAACACAATGCTTCCTATAGTGATGTGCTCATTGTTTTCAGAAAAATACTTGCAGCATCCCAATTCGCACACTATCCATCCTAAATAGTATTTGAAAATATAATTAGTATGTCCCAAATCATAGTATTTTGAAAACAGTATGTCAAAAGTTCCCAGATGGTTTACAATTTTTGGTCAAATAATTTAACTGTACAATCGTCCGTGTATATATCTATGGAAACTTCTACTGTGTACTCGTGAATTCGATTAGAACTACAAACGCGGGTGAAAAGTGTAAAAAAACTACAAATATGATGGGTGCGCGAAACCAACCGTAAAGTAGAGAGGCTTCGGTAAAGATGTTTGCATGCCTGTTTTTATTCATATCTAGCCAATTGGAAATTTTTTAAATGTCGTTTCCTATGTTATATTTCATCTGCAACAACAATACTGAACTTAAATAAAGACATGTTTGGACATTAACATCTGAATGCAGAATGATCCAAAGACCTGACTTGTGAATGGCAGATTAAACACACAGCTGAATCTCCGATAAGGTAGGAAAATAAATATGACAGATGATGTGTGGATGATTGACAGGGCTCATAACTAAGCAACACAACAATCTGTTAACGAAAAAAAAAGTAGTATGTCCCTAAGCTTGCATACTCTTCTGTTACACACTCAAAAGTATATATTTTTCCTTCACAAAAAAGTACATACTTTTAGGGCATAGTATAAGTATGCGAATTGGGATGCACTAAATCTAAAAACATAAATTTCACTGGTACCATCCTGCATAGCACTGGCATTTCCCACAGACCAGATCTCCATGGCCAGTACAGCGCACTGCATTTTTAACCGGGGTCTGAAAATAAAGTAAGCAGAAGTGTAAGATATGAAATGAACACACGGAACTGGAGAAGAGTTGTACAGAGGCAGCAAGTGTTACCTTTTCACAGTCACAGGTTGGACAGAGCACCTCTGCATTGATTTTAAAGGCAGAGCTGAAGGTGGTGGGCTTGACTCTCAAGGTTCCTGCGCGGTCAGCCTGGTTGACCTTACACACGGGCTCTTCTCCTACCTGATTAAGGGCCTTCATACGCACTTTAAATTTACCCTGGAAACAGTGTGGCAAAGTTTTCACATTTTAAAAAGTCTTAATACAGCCCAGCTAACAATTTTGTGTTTAATAGATGTCTAATAGACATCTAAGAATAGCCTAAAAATAGACTAGTCGTCAAATAGAAAGAACAGACAGACTTTATACAGTATGTGTAGTCATTCATTTCAATTTAGCCTTGTTTTAGCCACAACGACTATGTTTAGACGTCTATTAGACATCTATTAAATATCTTTTAAAAACAAAAAATGCTTGCTGGGATGCCTTTCTGGAATACTTGATTCTGATTGATTGGATAAACATTGTAAGGTACGATATTTTCAGATAACAATAACAAAAACAATATATTAACAAATACAATAACATTATAATAACAAATGTATTTATGTGTAAGAAAAACAACTGTTTCTATAAGATTTACATTCAATTAAAGAACTAATTGGAGACATGGTGGCTCAGTGGTTAGCACTGGCACCTCAGTTTGCATGTTCTCTCCGTGTTCGTGTGGGATTCCTCTGAGTGCTCCGGTTTCCCCCACAGTTCAAAGACATGCTCTATAGGTCAGTTAAATAAACTAAATTGTCCACATTGTATGAGTGTGTATGTGAGTGTATGGGTGTTTACCAGCACTGGGTTGCGGCTAAAAGGGCACCCACTGCAAAAAACATATGCTGGAGCAGTTGGCGGTTCATTCCGCTGTAGCGACCTCTGATAATGATTTTAAAAATTATTATAGCACAGATCAATGTTTTGTGTCGAACTGTTTAGTTTTGTGGCCGGCAAGTAGCAGTTTAATAAGCAGGATAATGCACATCCAACCATTTTTTCCTGCAAAATAAAAACCTTCAGTCTTACACAACAGTGCTGTGCTTTGCTATATTGCGACAACAACCGGCTGGATGTACATTATCCCTTTTTTAATTGTGTGGGTTGTTTTAAAATTGTGGCCATATTTCTGTTGGCTACATTATAATTTAGGAAATTAAATATGAACATTCATTCATTCGTTTTCTTTTCGGGGTCGCCACAGCGCAATGAACCGCCAACTTATCCAGCATATGTTTTACGCAGCGGATGCCATTCCAGCTGCAACCCATCACTGGAAAACATCAACACACACTCATTCACACATACACTACGTATACTTTAGCCTACCCAATTTACCTATAGCACATGTCTTTGGACTTGTGGGGGAAACCGGAGCACCCGGAGGAAACCCATGCTAACACAGGGAGAACATGTAAACTCAGAAGAAATGCCAACTGACCCAGCCGAGGCTCGAATCAGCAACCTTCTTAATGTGAGGCAATCATGCTACACCGCAACGCCCTTTAATATGAACATAACTCTTTAAAAACAAATCATTTACAAATATGTTTGCAAAAACAGCTACATCAATGTAAAAAATGAACTGATAGGTAGAGTATGGTTAAGCTTTAAAACTAAAGCAAAACGACTCACAGTTTGTCCTGGTGTGATTTTGAAATTGCCATATTCAGAAAAGGTGCCAGACTGAGAGAAAATCTTGGTTTCCACTGCCTTTGGTCTGTCCTCTGCACGAATACTGATCTTGGAACGAATATTCTGTAGATAAAACAAACCAGCAAATAATTTTGTTATAGTTTTTTTTTTTTATTTGAAAAAGAAAAACAAAGCTTTAAGGGTATGAAAATAAATACCTCAAAAGCTTTTTCTAAAATGCTCAGGATATTAGATGAATCCTCCTGTAACTGTCCCAGCTCAGCAATGGGGAAGTATTCATGAAGTTTCTATATACAACGGAAAGCACCACGATATTACATTTTCATTTGTGTCTAAAATCATTTTAAATGTAGACAAGATTTACTTGTCAGAATAAAAAAAAAAATCAAAGACATACAAACCTCATAGTATGAGTATGAGTGATTAGTAACAGCGAAAATTGGGATGATGTTATGTTTCACCAAAAGTCGCACTAGAGTCGGTATAGATGGGTAATCTTGACGAACATCATGCGTGTAGTTTCCATCTACATTCAGATGGCATTGCTCATCATTGCGGTCCAAGATGCCAGCGAGCACGTTGGCACCATCTGCCTCATAATGGAAAGCTGATTCAGTGGAGAAGACCAGCAAGTGTGTGCTGTCTTTCCTCCAGCCAATTTGGTCCTGTGAAAAGAGGATAAAATGATACTCTACTCAGTTCCTTGAACGAACACTCGTCAAGTGTGTACCAAATGTGAATAAAAATCAGTGTTGGTCATTACATGAGACTGTGAAACTCCCTAGCTGGCCAGCAGTGGTACTGAAAAATCACACTCATGTAAAAGTACCATTAATTGCCAAAAAGAATTGTGCAAGTAAAGGCATCTGTTCTAAATACTACTCAAAGTAGGAGTAAAAAGTCGCCTTTCTAAATGTACTCAAATGTAGAAAATTATTACATAGCTTACATCTGCAGTTTAAATTAAAAAATGTTCTAAATGTTAGTTAAAATATTTGCCATTCATGGACTATAAATGTACAATGTAAGATGAATTTAACATAAGAACACATTACATTAATATGTGCACCTATAGTAAGCCAATAGCAAGTAGCTGCGTTTACATGCAGAACCAAATCTGTGTAACCTAATGCCGAGTTCAGACTGCATGATTTTCAAAGTAGTCGTGTCACAGATGTTTTCACATTGCATGACTTTGTTTACACTGTAGGATGGATCAGCCCTTGGAGAGTTCACACTGCATGACTTTAAAATAGAAAAAAATCAGACAACTTTGTCCAAACTACGTCTCACAACCAAACACATGCGAGAGGTGACATGAAAACAACGCAAGGTCAGGTAATATATCTTTCACTCATGCAGCGCTGATGGAATAAATGAAAATTGTGGATGTATTTGAAAACGTAACATTCTGTAGTGCATTTAGTTATTGTTTAAGGCCACACAGTAGGCATCATTCCTCTTCTCATTAGTGACACACGGTCTAAACAGTCTCTCAGTCATCATGTGTAATGATTTTGAATCTTCTTGAACATTTTTAATGCTTCCACGCTGTACATATTTACTGCATTTATAAAGCATCTGTGTCCTGAGGTCAGTCTGTCTGATGTGACTTTTCTATGAGTGATTTGATGGAAGGGTCTGATTGTTCTGCTTAGGAAATCGCTATAGATAAGATAAAATAAATATATATTGTGACTGCAGGTTGAAATAAAATAGCAAATAGTAAAAGAATCGATATAGTATTAAAAATGTACTTATGTAAATTGTAAAAGTAAAAATATACATTTTTTAACTATTCAATAGTAAAATTTCTGATAAAACTACTCAATTAAAGTATTTGTAATTTATTATTTGACATCACTGTAAACATTTTTATTCATTCTAATGATGCCTGATCATGCAACATGGTTTATTATGATGATTATTAGATTATTGCCTAAATTACCTACACCGTGTACACTTGTGGGGGACACCTCGGGGGGTCGTGGGATAATGGGGGGGGGTGTCGCTTGGTGATTTCCTAAAATCAAATTCATTTGATTAAACTATTAGAATTACTATATTTTTCCCCATAACCTACAGAAAATAAAAATAGTAGTTAATAGTTATATAAAAAACAAGCTATTTTTTTTCCATTAGATTGCTACCCCTGGGGTCATTACATTAGATTAAAGACAGAGCAATAGGGTCAGATGCAGCAGAGTGAGGCACCAGGTTAAACTTTTAAACACCTTTACATCACTCATGTAGATTAAAAATAAATACAGGTCACAATCGAACATAGAGGATGATCTCTGAGTGGTGTTTTCCAAAATTAAATAAAGAATAGACTTGGGATTATTCATGTGTGACCACCATCGCTTGCAAGGTTTGTATGTTTATAACCTTTTCAGAGGATGTTGGGGGTCTAGAATCACTGGCATTGTTATTTTAGGGGTCGCAAGCTGAAAAGTTTAGGAACCCCTGATCTAAAGCATGGACATTTGTGTAAAAAATACTAATAAATAAATAAATAACCTTACTCTAGCTATAGCTTTTGGTGTCAGGAATTTTACTTATTGTCTGTACCAGTGTTGCATACTCAAATAGGAAAAATGTTTTTTAATATGCAGCATCTCTCGCATGCAATAACCTGCAAATAAAATTGCAGATTAAAGAGTTGGTTTCACTACATCCTTTTAAGAAGATTTTAAATGACTTGGAATTTGAAGTATTGGCCTGTAGATTTTCTGGCTAGTTTTAATTGTCATTGTGTGTTTTGATGGATGAATAATGTTATCTGTTATTTTTGTTAAACCTATGTGAACTGTCTACTGCTTAATCTTGGTCAGGACGTTCTTGTAAAAGAGATGTTTAATCTTAATGTGCTTTTTTACTGGCGAAATAAAGGATATAATATTAATATTAATATTAAATGACAAAAAATATAATATAAAAAATATAATAACTATAAAAAATAAAATATAACCAAACAAAATATTGGTTTTAAGCCTTAACTCCACCGCTAAGAAGTAAGTTGTTGTTTACAGCATTGTAAATGTCAGCCAAGCCATTCAGTTTTATTTTTCAATTGCCCCTGAAGAAAAACTGTCA